ACTCATAGTAATTGATTATTATTACATATTTGGTTGGCAACATTCCAATTAACCTCCATGTTTCTACAAATATTTATAGTGAACGCTCTCTTTACTTTTTGTTCTTGTTGTTTTTATGCGGATTTTGCATAAAAGAAGAATGACTTTTCCCGAGAAAATTTTAATTAAATGGCATAAATATTGTACAATAATGCTTCCCTTAAGTAGTTGTGTATTCTCAATAAAATTGCATGTAATCACTCGAGCAATTTCATTTAGTAGAGAATTTTCAATTAAATGCATTTCTCTCCATGCTGAAGACACGAAAACTGAGACGAAAACTCCAAATGGAATATCCATAAAATTAAAAATTATTCTCTAAACATATGAGTGTGAAGAGTGCGAATATCTAATTTATCATCAGGATAATTCGATTTTCTCATTGCATACCTGTTTTTGAATTTTCAAAACTCCGGGGAAAATACCCAAGAGAAAATCAAATAAATTTTAATCAATGCACTTGCAGAAGCATTGTTGCTTCGAGGCTCTAAATAAAACATTCTAATTCTCTGTGGAATATGCAAAATATGATGAAATTTATTTAGCAGACCACCAGAGAAATCCAACCCGCATTCGTACGATTCACATGGGATTACTCTCGATTTATTCTTACTGTATGCATCCGTAATTTAAGCTTCATATCCGTGGATTTGGCGGTACACATTGAAAGTCTGCGAACAAGGGCGTAAAAGAGATTCACGTAGAGACTTTAATGAATGAACATGAAAAATCAAATAAACCTCACATTTTACGGATTCCATACAATGGCAAAGTCCTGTATTCGCTGTAATTGAAACTTTCAATTCAATATCTGAGCCAGTTGAGCAAATATTTCCAATCTGCAAAAAGAATTGGTCGTTGTTGCGCATTGAAATTTCATTGGACAGCGTTCATTGGCATTTTCAATGTGGCTCCTCCGCACCCATTCTCGGCTTAATTGCGAAATCCATCACGGCTGTGTCGGGCTCAGGATGGGGTGTGTGTGCAGAAAGGCACACATATGTCTTGTATTCGGCTATGTACACTTCCGACTACATGCGGCCGTGGAGCTTTCTCACTTGCTTCTGTGTATTTGCGCAGAGTTGTGCGTTTTCCAGCAGTTTCGCGTGGAAAATGAGATGGTAACGAAGAGATGAGTTGCGGATGGAGTGTATAGAGGTATAATAAATGGAGCGTAGAATTGACAACTTTTCTCCACTTTTATGTTGTCTCTATTTATGTTGTACATCAAATCCGTATGAAGCTCTCGCCTCCCCACTTATATGGAACTTGTATAGGCGTAAGCATAAAACTTTTTTTCACCAATTGTGCCAAACGAACTGTGAGCAGATGTGAAATGGATGAGAAGATATATGGCAAAGGCGCATCTACACATTTTTACACACACACTCGAGCTGTGGAAAATTGAAATATTTCATGAGGGGAAAATGCCATAGAATTCTTCTGTTCGCAAATTAAACTCGCTACCATCGCCATGCAATCACACTGCGAATGTATGTGAACGCGAAGCGTTGGACGGTGGCATGAGAGCTTTTTAACTAAGCGTAGTACCACTGTAGAAACGCATTAAAAGATGTCAAGTATGCTCCAGAGAGCATTTTTAATTGGTTTTCCTGCCAACATAGCCATTCTTCATGATGTTTTTCTTTAGTTAAACATGATTTTGAAGTACAGAACTGTCAGCACAGCAAACCCGAAAGGTGAAGCATGAATTAATTAGAAGCTCCATATATGAACAGTCAAAAGGAATGGAATATCTTTCATCCGGAGTTTAATGTAAAGTGTGCAAGGGAATTATTTTTTAATAATAGAGCATGTTCATTTCACCCCTCTTTGCATTACATGTCGAGATTCAATCAACGCTCATGCCTTATCACCGAATATAGTCAGGATAATCCTTGCATAATCGAATTGCTAAATCTTGCATTATCCACATCGCAGTCTGACTTCTAATAATCTCACCAGTAAAAATATTCTCAAGTGCTATTTGCAAAACGTGGGGGAATTGAAAAAATCCCGGGATTGTGCGAGAGATTATGTGACTGTGTGACTGTGGCGAGATTCTGTGGCGAACATGAAGAGCAACAAGAGCTTAGCAGTTCTCCTTTGCAGCCCTTTTTCGCCAGATTCCATTTCAAATGCAAGATTTGAGTGGCACAGAGCAATTATTTGAAAGAGGGCAAAAAGACGACGGCGAACATTCTTGTAAATGTTGGAACATGCGAAAGCCAAGCCATTTACGTCAAGTGGAAACTCTTCCACATTAAATAATCATTTTGGCGTGCTCTGTCGATGAAAGCACACGAGAAAAGCTCATGTTGAAGAAAGCCAAGAAACACAATTCCATATGCAAGAGTCTTCTTCGCATGGAATTGAAAAATTCTTATCAAATGCTCTCTAGATTTTTTTTCTTCTTCTTATTTTTGTGTCATTTGAATTGGTGGAAGCTTAAAGTCATTCGCTACGTTCCATACGTTCAAGAATTCTTCCACAGTCTTGCTCTATTTATTTTCTCGGTAAATGCCGAAAAAATGTCATGATTTATGCGAAAGGATATAAACAATTAAATAAAAGCATGCAAACGACGAGACCATTTTATCATCGTTAAGTGTCTCATATTTGGCCATACGTGGAGGAGATAAAGGAATGCTGTACTTTCTTGAAAATGACCCAAATGGGCACTTCTTTCTCATTGAAATTCCAAACATTGAGCCCATTTTCAGCAGACTCGCACACATATCGCAAAATTGTGTTAATATTTGCTACAAGAGCAGCAAGTATCATAGCAACATTATAACGTGCCGCTGCTCAACATTTCCACTTATTATGCCACGAGTTAATGTGCTCAAAACTGTCCATAAATTGACGCATTTGTCCACTGATGTGGAGTAATGAGGGGTGAAAAGTGGGAAAATTACTGTATAGATCGCAGATGACACGAGTGTAAATAAACGTGAAAAGCGAGCTTTGAAGATTGGTCATTAAGATTGAATAATATATGATTCATAGCTTATATATGTGCGCTAGAGAGAAATTCATGGTGAATTACAACCAATGATTTGTGTTTGGAATGGGTGAACAATGTGGGTGGGTGAGAAAGCTCTGGGAATAGTTTTCTTCGTTATGAAATATTACCAGAATGTGAATATAGAGCACAGGAATTTCCAAGATTATCAAGCATGAAAATATCACGGATAAATTGTCCTCTCTGCTCTCTTATTTCCATAGCATTATAGGCAGATGCCAATGAACTGAGAATGATATTTGACCATTAATTAGAATTTAATTTCATCCGAGAGATAAAATGTCAGCGCGTAGGTTAATTTTCATCAGGCGCTTAGTGGAATAATAGCAATAATTAACGTCTTTTGTCTCGTATAACAATATTAAGTGAAAACCCTAAAATTAGCCTCATAAATTCCCTGGGATTCTCCTTAATTAATAATAATTTTCTCTCCTTTTTCCCCTTAATTATATTCTCATGGCGAGCGTCTGCGACGTCTGAGGTAATCTTAAGCGCAGAGATGCGCGTCGCCCATTTCTCTTTCGACTTTTATTGCATTCTTTCATGGAAAGTTTGCTCTCAGCCAACAACTTTACGGTATTTTCAACCACAGCAACTCTCTCAACCTTCACACTGTTTGATGTCCTTTCGCTTTGGCATTGAGAAGTGCAAGACGGAAATTGACAGTGACGAGCTTTCGCCTCCACAATGTCTTCGACATGCGAGTAGCGACAGGAATATCCTCTTATATCGTGTTTCTCCTATTCAAAGTTGAGAAAACAATGAGAGATATGTGAAACTGGAAACGAGGAAATGTCTTTGATTTCATTCTATATTCAAGTTATTGTAATTCAATCATTTCTGAGCAGGAATTCCGCTGACACAGAAGGATGCCTCTCAGCAAACATTATTAGGTTTGTTCGATTGCATTTGTAAAATCATTTTCCAACCACTCACTACTTTTGCTGTCCTGAGGAGAGACGATATTCTATTGAATTTTATGGTTAGACATCAAAGAGATTCCAGTAAAATCAATCGGAAGAGTATGGATTTGCATGAAATGACATTTTCAGAGACTTTTCTAGTTAAATGTACAGCAAAATTTCAACTCTCTTCTCATTTCCACCCAATTATAGCATCTACAAACTCCCGAGTCGCATAAATCAAATTATTCTGCAGAGCATTTGTATTGTTTTCCCTCGGGAAAATTTATATTCATAAAATGCTAATGCAAATTTTATATAAACGTTGGAAAAATGGAGGAAATAATATTTCGCAATTCCATTCCCTTCCCGAACTGCTGCCATTTCATCCCTCTTCACTGCTTTCCATTTAAGCTGATGGCTTCCCATTATCGGAGGAAATGTTGCAAAACTAGAGAGAATTGATTTAAATCTGATAAGTAGTAACTACAAGCCATACATCATCGTTGATTTCGCCCACTTTCCCTCATGTTACTGGAATTGCGATTATGTGGCTTTTTTGTATTGCACAGATTCTCCTTATTCTGCGGGGGTGTTTCTCACGCCCAGAAATGAATTGATTACATTATGCTCTACACGTGTGTTGGGGAAGAAATGCGGAGAATTGAGGTAATGCCATGGGTTCTGCTCATGAAGGAGCCAAAGAGCTTATCACCGTTCACTAGATGGGAAAGATCCCAACCCATAATAAACCGCACTCAATGATAGTCTCAGAGATGAAAAAGAGTGATGGAGTTGTGAATTTCGCAGTCTGCTCGTGATTCATAGCAGAGTATTGTGTAATATCACAGCTTGATCACAACTAATTCAGACAATTGTACACTTATTTGCGATCTAGGACAAGACGCGATTACTTCATCATAGATAACGAATTGCATTCCAGTGAGAGCGACAGAGAGAGAGAGGGAAATTACGCAGTTCGCATGACATTGCAAAATCTTTCGTCAGTTCTTCACGATAAACTATCCAGTGCGTATCGTTTCTCTGTTGTTCTGATCAAAATGAACAGTTTATTCAAATCCACCGAATTTGACGAGAAGTCTAAAATATGGAAAGGAGGTTGCATTCCCAGAATGTTTGATCCTAAAATATCGGTGGGAAAAGCTGCTCTCTTCATTCTCAATCAGAATCCAGATTTTGTCGCTCAAATAAACGATAATAGTGGAATCCAGAAGACAAATCGAGAGATTCACGATTGTGTTGTGAATATTGCTGTCAATCTCCGAAAACTCGGTTGCTCCAAAGGTGATGTTGTTGGATTTATCTCCAGGAACAATGAATTCATCGGTCCAGCTGTTTTGGCTGCCTTTCTACTCGCAGCTCCCGTGAATTCTCTTGATACGATGTTTTCCAAAGATGAGATAATTCACATGTACAGCATTACGCAACCCAAATTTATTTTCTGCGAAAGCGACAAAGTCCCAGTCCTGACGGAGGCTCTTAAAGTTCTGCAGTGTAATGCAAAGATCATTGTTTTTGGTGAGAGAATTGACGATCTCCTTCATATAACTGATATTTTGAAGAATTCTGAACCCTTGGAGGATTTTGTGTGAGTTTGAACAACTTTCAATTGGCTAAACGACGAACTATAATTTCTCATCTCATTTGGGAAAGCTTTCCGGACGTTGATGAACACACTTGTGCTGTCATCATCTGCTCTTCTGGCACAACTGGACTTCCTAAGGGCGTGAGTCTCACTCATAACCATATTCTTTACATGGGATCTTATGGATTTACGGATGAATTGGAAAAACCCTGCTCAATGATCTGCTACAGTTCACTCTACTGGTATTCTGGTCTGGTGACGCTCGCGATCAGCAGTCTCACGAGCGTCACGAGAATCATCACAACGGATCCTTTTTCACCTGAACTCTTCTACAACATGATAATGAGATATCGCCCAAGAATTCTTTTCACAGGACCTATTCAGTTGTCTGCAATCCTGAATCATCCTCTTCTGAATGAGCAAACCATGGATTGTGTTCAGTAAGTCATACAGATTCAAATGTTACCATATTTGGATGATGATAAATTTAATCTCCTCAGATACTACACCTGCGTGGGAAGTATTGTTCCGCAATCTCTGTGGGAGAAGGCCAAACATTACCTGCCAAATGGGGAAATTTACAACGGCTATGGAATGTCAGAAGTGGGATTTGTTTCGCGAGAGCCTCAGAAGACTCCAAGATATTCTGTGGGAAAGCTCATTGCTGGAATTCACGTGAAGATTATCGATGAGAGTGGCAAGAGATTAGGAATAGGAGAGAGAGGTGAATTATGCTTCAAGACGGATATCATGTTTCTAGTACGGAGAACCGAATTAATTCTTCCGAAATGTGATAAATGAAGAGTTTGATGTCTTTCCAGTGCTACTACAACAATCCTGAACAGACAGCCAAGGCTCTGGACGAGGACGGTTGGATTCATTCCGGGGATCTTGGGTATTTCGATGAAGATGGACTTCTGCACATCATTGGACGCAACAAGGACATCCTCAAGTACAACAACTACGTCGTATCTCCGGCCGAAGTTGAGAACATGATCCTCACCATTCCGGGGGTTCTTCAGGCTGTAGTCGTGGGAGTTTCTCATCCAGTGTCGATCGATCTTCCGGCGGCTGCTGTTGTTCGGAAGAATGACGCAACTGTGACGGAACAAGAGATCTTGACAGTGATTGAGAACAAATTAAGTGACGCTAAGCGACTTCGCGGAGGAGTTTACTTTGTGGACAGTGTTCCCCTCACACCATCCGGTAAAGTCAAGAAGAATCTCGTGAAAGAGATAGTAGAGAAATTGTACAGAGAGAAAAATCATTAAATGAATCGGTAAATCGATAGATGACAGTCTAATTCCTCGTACAAAGCGTGGAGTTTCGGTGGTGGAGAGGAAAAATCTGGCGGACTGAAGGGAGGCGCACGTGATAAGGCCAAAAAATTAAGCACCAGATTTACGATGGGAATCACTGTGATATTTCGATGGGGAGGCCTATTAATGTGCCATTACGGGGGAGAATCGATAAATATCCATCTTATGTGCCATATTCATAAGTAATTGACTGGCTGGGGCGCAAAATTACTCATCCGTGGCCCTATGCTGGAGTTTCCCATTCAAATAAAGTGCCTGGCAAGTTGGGCATGTTTGATGTGGAATGCGGGAAGCCTTTGTGGACTCCCGGTAATATTTCATGCAGTAGTTGCACAACTTTGTGGCCGCAAAAAGTTGAGAAATTTTCTTTGAACATCACATCTTTGGTGTCAACCGACCAGACTCTCGATATCAAGCTTTCCTATATTCGTTATGCAAAAAGCTCTTGAGGGGATTTCTTTAGCAAGTTGTACAGCCAGACTAAATATATTGAATTTCATTGAGATAAGCGTAATATAGAAGCATATTAAACCTCGTATGGTTTTGCTTGCGGCAGATGAATTAAATGGGAACTTCATTTGCAATACAGTACAATAATCCCAGCATTTATGTCAATAAAATACTTCTGATTAAACTGAAAATATCATAACGGAAAAGGAAACTTTATACAGTTTTTTGCTTTTATCGAATCTGATTTGATTGCATTTTCTGAAAAGTTCAATTTTATCTTACTTTGCAAAATGATGGAAAAGAGTGAAACGTTGCGTGTAGTCTCTTCATCTCAACGAAACATTGTGAGAAAAATCTGTGAAATTGTGTCTTATTGTGCTTTCTGCTGAAGAAGAATCGAGAATAACTCTTCTTATTGATTTTCTCAAGTGTACAGCACGAGTATTCATTCAACTTTATTATTTCACTATTAAATTCAGACAGAAAATAATGGTGGTTGAGAGCATTTCCCGATGGAAATGCACGCGAGGAAAAATTAAACAGTGAAATTGTCAAACAGAATGAAAAGAGATACTGTCTGTCGCATAAAATGAATACGGAGAAAATTGCAGCATAAATCATTTTATATGTGTATAGAGAAAAAGCCATGATGCCTCGCCCTCAACACGGACATTGCACAGTATCGTGGATGACTCTATAAAAATGTCATCAAAATGCGTCCCAAAAACACGATCTGTGAATGTTTTCTGGGTGCAACATAAAAGTCTAGCAGAACATAAAATCGTTTTTCATTTTCATCATATCGCAAAGTGGGCTGACGGGGCCTTTTTGCATACCACCTATGCAAAGGGGGCGAGCTTAATGGTCCTGCACTGTAACTCATAGCATCGTTATCATCACTCATGCGGAGTCCTGACCACCCGTTCTACAATTCCTGTTCGCTTTTTTAATTCCTTGTCCACTCTTGGATCACCTCCAAAATGCAGTCACAATACCAATTCGATGCAGAATTACACTCCCAAATTCTAAATAGAGGAAAGTGAGTGCGTTGCGAAGGGCAGTTGGAGCTTTGGCCGCATTATAGCCAATGCTTTGGCTTTGCAAATTGTTGATTAGAAATATCTGGCCTAACTACAACTCCCAAGCATTGAGACAGAAGTACTCTAAAATCCCTTCAAAATAACCCTTTACTCTCCTAAAATTCACTCACTAAATTTATGGTAAATAATTCACTTTTTTCTTGCATATTTTTACACAAAATATATTTGCTTTTCTACCCTGCTTTCGCATCCTGTCCGGTGAGAACAATAAGCTGCATGCAAAATTTACGGGTTTCCCCTTTTGGGAGGCGAGTATCTGCCAACAAAGAGTTCCAGTGTGTGGCGAGAGCAAAAATAGTCCCATCCGTATGTCGCAATTATCCACCAATATTTCTGCCAATGGACTCACATTCATTTTCCGGAAGGGCGCACAAGCCACCAAAATGGCTTGTCCAGAGGTGGGAGTTGAGCGTAGAGAGCAATAAAACGGGCATGTTGAATGAAGCCATCCCAGAGTCCCCACATAAATATCCCCACGGGAGGGAATTTTTGTACACTCACCAGAGTGTCTGCGACTCAATTTCTCACCGTTTTCCCACTACACTACAAGTGGTTGGAATCAGAGTTGCGAGAGGACGCAGTTAGCAACTTCTGTAGACGGATGATAGGTGTGATTGGGTAATCAGGGCTATCTCGCGTCTAACTTCCTGTGAATTTCAGCTCTGGTGGCGAGGAAGAGGAAATTCGGTGAATAAACCTGCCTGTTTGAGACAATCTCATGGTGGAGAATGAAGGAAGGTCTTCGAATTGGGTCAATTGCTGCAAAGTATTTGTTAAAGTGAATTACCATCTTCACCTTTAATCTCCACACCTTGTCTAGCAATTTCCCCGGCATTCTTCCGTTGAGGCGCGCATTAGGTGAAGAAATCTTGGACATTTTCATTAAACTTTTCATCCTTTCTTCTATCCGCAATTTTCATCCAAGAGGTGCGCAACGTGAGCATTCAAAGCTTCTCTGTCACTCCATGGCGCGCACTTGAACACAACGCTCACGCAAGGGAAAATCCTCATCGATGGTGAGTGTGTTCTTGTGAAAGAACAAAAAGGCGCGATGAAAGAGAAGAAAAGGTGGGTGGAAAATATGGAAAACACTGCGAAACCCATTCACTTTGCATAACAATAACAATTCGTGTTGTTCAGAAAAGGAGCAGAGAGAGAGAGAGAATAGAATGAAAAGCACTCTGCAGAGTGCTCCAAGTCATGGTTCTTGATTTTACAAGAAGTTTTCCATTAGAAGATCTTTACCCCTGCTTAGCTGATTGAGAGAGAGAGAGAGAGAGAGCACTTGATTTTAAATATCGTCTATTACACTAAATTTTCTTATTGCTCATAATACTGCCTTTACGTCTGTGCGTAAAGTGTGAGTTCTAGCAATAAAAAGCTGAAAATATACAAAATGCGAAATATATCTGGAGCATGTTCCGCCCACCCACTCGCGTCAATAGACAAGGGCCCAGCAAAGGGAAGTCTGGCAAAATGAATTCTCACCCTCCATACTCAACATATATACACATTTATGTGTACAGTACAAATTCCATCATCGCTCTCCTAGTTTGTATCTTCATTGTGCATCACTTCGCCATGAGATGAGATATTGAAATTTTTTATTATTGCTAGTTTTAAAGTGTATTATTGCCTCCCTTCAAATTCCCATGACGACGAAGAATTTTCATCTTGTGTGTGACTTTTTTGCACATCTTCAACTTTCAGGGACTTTTTCACCTGTTTCGCTACAAAGGGAGAAACAAAATTTATTACACAAGCAAAAAGAATGCGAAACTCTTGCATGTACCGTCGCGTAGTTTCATAAAGTTTGACTGCTGAAAACATTTCAGCAAATATTGCAATAAAGCATTTTCTCACTTTCAACATAATTCGGAACTTGAGAGTTGGAATTTCGAAGGAGAAAAAAAATATAATGAAAGGGAAGTGCATTTTTTGCCCAGAACTTCAATCAGAAAAAGATTGTGCTAAGTGAAAAACAGTGAATTGGAATGAAAGTGAATAATAGATATTGCCTGAAGTGAAAAATTACCCGAAAATTAATTATTAATATCATGTGCGATGGATTTTCAATTCCACTCTATATCATTCATGCAAATGGATATTCGATTGATTTCTCAGAATCCTTGCAGCACAGCTAATGAGCGTGAAATGCAGGATTTTACTCAATTGGCTGGAAGTGATGGTAACTCATTTTTCAAATATCTTGATATTAATTCATTTTCAGTAGTGAATTAGATATTTCAATGTTTCTTTCAGACAGAAAAGAAGGTTAAGTTTCACAAAATACATAGCCGCAGACTAATGCCAGAATAAGAGACTTAGATGTGTATTGAAAGCTCTCTTCGCATTGCTTCCTTTCGCCTTAAGACGCTTCAATAGACTCGAAATCCTACCACATGACGTGTTGTGGAATTTGGGACTTTCTCGTATTTCGTTTTTTTCCTAGAGGAAAAGCAAGACGACAGAGTGGGGAATGTCGTGTATGGGCTTCGTGGAATTTTTCACAAAAATGTAAGTAATGTCTCTCCTTCTCCTTTTGCCTATTGCAGCAATTCCTCCTCTTCCTTCGCCAGCACCACATCACTGTGGAGTTGGGAATGAAAGTGACGGAAAAACAGAGGAAATAAGAAGATTAAATTTTCTTTATTGAACTTTTCCAAGCATGAAAGCTGAAGAGTGAATCATAATAAAAGGAAATAATTCACACATAAAGCTCTTTTACGTCCTCCATCACTTTCCCCAGGTGATTGTTTATCTATAGCTATACAGAGCTTCAGGTCAAAAGCGCTCTGTCATACTTGACTTTATTGCTCTGACTATGACATTAAGGATAAGTGCAAATTACAGTAATTGCTCAAATCCGTCGATATAACTTTTAATTGGCAGTTAAATTTCGCAGCAACATAAATCCAAAAATCTCAGAGAGAAAAAGAGACATTTTGCATGCCAATTAAAACTCATGGTAAGCACGAGACGCGCCACACTCACACATTTCGTATTTGCACACTTATTATGCAAAGGAGTGTTCATGAAAATTTGATGGAGAGAGATGTATGATGTGGCAGACAGCCAGAAAGATTTTCCGCACAGGAAGGAGATGCCGTATTAGAGTCAAAAACGGATATTAACGTGCTTTCTTCCCGGATTATCTTCCTTCTGGATTAGTTCTTAGCTAATGTAGTCTTAAAGCATGATTTATTCCGTGCAATTCATGTCATCTTTTATACAAATTGGAGGAAAGGCGGCTCAAGCTGTCTTTATGTGAAGCAATTTCCATTCGATATGACTGAAAATTGAACACACAGTGATATAATTGGGGATTTTTCTATGCTGTTCCACACTCAGCAAGATAAAACTCTGTGCGGTAAATTGAAATTTCGGCGGAAATATCATAAATTTCATCGAACGACGACGCCATCGCAGTATCAAAAGTGAAACTCTGGCTCACTTAACTGGCAGAGGAAGGAAACTCCCTTGCTACAATTTATGAGACGCTTCTTCAATTAAAATTTCCTTATCAGTAACGAGAATTGTCTCCCCCGCAACGCGAATCTGTGTATATGTGCGGGAATGTGGTTGAATTTCCTCTGGCTCGTGCTTCTTCTCGCACTCTCCTTTTCGCTAAACTCTTTCTGACTCGTTTCGCCAATAATAAGCACAAAATAAATATATAATTTCGCATTTCGCTTTTTCGTCGCATCGGAGAAAAGGCTGAGAAAGCAATTTTCGGCCGGGTTGTTGGAATCTAATGAAAATTCCTCCTCACCATAGACCATTCACTCTCTCTCTCTCTCTCCGCCTCGTTAATACAGGCCCTCATGCTGAGTTTCATTGCTGATTACATTAAATTCTAATTTAATAGATCATTAAATGGCGGTTTTTTTTCTTGGCGAGCGGCGCATATTTTGGGGCAATCAATAAAAAGTATCGCTTTAATACTTTTTTTCTCCCTTCCCAGCATTAGCTCACATGTGAGGGCATTATTTTGATATAAATGTCAACCCTCGTTCGCAGCAAACTCGCCCTCGTTGACTCTCTTTTTGCCGTGGCGCAAATTTCTAAGGAGAAAAATAAATTTTCTCCCACTATGCAAATGACATGGGGGCGTTAATCATTTTTCCCTTGAGCTTTTTGTTGTGCTTTTCTCGCTCACTCGCATTTTTTACCGCCGTCCTTCTTAATTCATTCCATAAACGACAAAATGCCTCCTTCTCCACCTCGCCCCGCTTTTGTACTACTAAAGAGTCTTTCATTCGGATTAAATTTTGCAAATGATAAATTCCAACGTGACATGCTTTTATTATGGCCCGCTCAGCACTAATTCATCCGTGCTCGTGAGCTTGGTTTGAGGGCAGAGGCGCCCAGGAAAAAAAGGTGTTGTGGGAATGAAAGATGCGGAGCACCGTAAATGGACAGTCTATTGTACAATGAAATCGTTCTCTAACCTTCCACTTTTATCTGGGCACACACTCTATTCAGACCCATACACTTTTTCCTCTCACTCAGTCCTCAATCTATCAGACGAAGGCTCTTTTTGAGCTTTTTGCCATTTTAACATAAAAGGTATGGACTCTCGGCCGGACTTACTTTTTGCCACGACAAACAGGAACACCCGAGGCGATTTTCCAGAGGTTGAGTGGCAAGAAGTACGTTTATGGGATCAATTAAAATGATTTACTGTCAATTTCCTATGATTTATGAATGCAAAATAGAAAGGATGTTTATAGAAGCGAAAAGTTTCAATTCCCAATCATTAATTTGGGGAACTTCTTCAGAAGTTCGGCTCCTCTCCAAATCGTACATTTTTCAATGATGCTCTCAAGTCGAGTGCCAAGGAAAGTCTCCCCTGAGGAATACGAAATTCCACTCATCCCTCCCCCTGTCAGATTGATGATGGGTGTGCCAAATTGAAGGTGTGATGTGAATCACGTATAAACAAACCCAGAAGCAATTCTCCTCTGCAAAATCATATCAATCGACAACTATACTTTGGGCGACATTTCCAATCCGTGGGGAGGATTTTGAGGTGAACTGACTACTGAAATGATTTGAAATTGTCCCCAAGATCCCAACATCAATTCCTTCTGTCTCACTCTATCTGTCTTCTTTCCTAGCAATCACACTTACAATCATCCATTGATGCGATGACATAGAGATGAATCCCTCGAAGGGAAAACATCCTTCAGGGTTCTCGCCGACGAAGTAGATCCACTCAAATTTCTTTCACAAGCTCTCTATGACAATTTTTCCTTTTCTCTGCTCTCCAGGACAAAGCGAAAAAACACAAAAATAAATTTACGAGTTTATATGCAATTTCTTATCATCTCTCTGTCTCTCACGTTTTCTTTACAAATAACATAATATTTACAATAAGATTTTTCTCATGTTTAAGGTAAAATATTAAACTTTGATTAGTGTTTTTTTTTCTTGTTCACCACTCTTTTCAATTAAACCCTCTTCTCTCTTCACCATAAATCATCACTCATACCTCGTAAAATCACAATATTCATTTCTCCTTAAATGTCATTGTCAACATTAGTGAAATATTAAGTTTTCCTTCCGCTCGCTCAACTATTTATCTCTTGCGCAATTAATAAATTTATCATTTAAACAATTATATATATAGCACACATTATCAGGCAATTAATTGCACAATGAACAGTTTATAGCAGTTTGTCGCATTTACCGTCCTCCACTCTTAAAAACAAAGTGAACTCTAAATTAAACACTGACTTTCAGTGCCTATTTTTGTGACGCTTCTTTTCATTCTCATATTAAATTCTTCAATCTATTTATACATAATTTGATATTATAAGTTTATCAACTCTGTCCCCGTCATTCCCAACCACATTGGAATAAAAGTCTTTGCAAAATAAATAAATTGGAAGTAAGGGAGGTAAAAATCTTCACACTCACACGCTTGTGTCTTAATGCTATAGTAAATGCCTCATTCTAATGGTCCAGTATCACGATTTCATGTCATTATCGTCACCTCCGGCATTCCTGGGCGCATCGCCAGCCATTCCCTCTGCTTCCGTTTCACTGCCGCCCGCCGCCGCGCCGCCCTGATCTTGTGCGTCAGCGTCGTCTGAATTGGAATTATTCTCCTTCTCATCTTTGTCAAAGACCTCATTACGATTAAGAAGTTGATCCGCTTTGATATCCCACAACTTCTTATTTGCCTTTACCTTTTGTGGGGCAGCATCCATGAAAAGAGGAGAAAACACAATTTTTCCATGCTTTGTGGTCCATCAAAGAGAAAATAAAAGTGTATTCAGAGGCAAAATGTTGAGGATACTTAGTGAAATAATGAGTAGAAATGATATTCTCTTATCAATTTCACCAAAAAAAGAAACATGCATAGTTAAATTATCCTCTCTCACACCGCATTCACTGTGTAATTTGCCTCCCTCTTCTCAGGCTCAAATAGCACCCGAGAGAGCGAGAGTGCGCGCGGGGGAGGGAATAATCAGGGTAATAAAAACGAGGCAAAAAATAAAAAGTCCAAAATAAGAGACGAACAAAAAAAAATCAAATGAAATGAGAGTGAGATGAATGGTAATTTGGAATTTTGTGCGTTTACTTTGGAACGTAAATCTTACTTTAGACGTATTATCCTTCACCCAAGAGTCTGGCTTACCATAATCGGGTGGATTGGCATAGGGATCATAGCCGAGAACTGATAGCATTGGCGCTATATCGGCCATATCGCGGACCACATCTTCAGGGATGTGGCCCACCCACTTGCTCATCGCCTCCAAATTTACAGGCTTAATCACTTGATCTGATGATCTCTCCACCCTGAATTAGAAAGAGAAGAGAGAGAGAGAGAGAGATGAAATGACGAAGAAAAATTCCACATTATATCCCGAAAGCAAATAGAATCATGGATTTCCATTTCGGCTGTAGACGACAAACAATAAAACAGAGGGAAAATGAAAGTGTATCAAGTGTGGAAAGGAGTGGATTCGCCTCAGGCATGAGAGACTTACTTAGATAGAGAGACTCCATTTGGCTTATTTATAAATTCCTCGTGATGCAAAACGCTCTCATTCCATGGCACATCGAGGAATTTTAGGATCTTTCTCATCCACTCTTCGGGATGCAGCACCAACTGCTCATAGTAAACCTACGAAACCAGGGAAATAAGTCATCAGACGCTTGGCAAAGAGACAAAATCAATACTTTGCCACACACTCTGCAAACAAGAGAAATCCTGCACTTTCCATTAAAATTACATTGTACACATTTTTACCATGGCGGAGAGTCTTGAAAAGAGTTAAACTATTGCAAAGCTTTTAATTTGCAAGAACACAAGCAATGCATGGAATTTGTTGAGTACAAAGAACTCACGATATTCGCACGCTATGTTAGCCAAACATTCTACACTCGAGGTTATAAAAATATTTTATAGTTTATATTTGTTTGCAAATGAAATAAAGATATTTATAAAACACCATTATACACAGTTACCATAAATCATTTACTTTCGTCAAGGCAGAAAAAGAATAAATGTAAAGAAAATCTGATAGCATGAACTCAAGTCGTTAAAAATAACACTTAAATTTTATTGTAATTGCTCAACATTACTGTTATCACAGTGAGAGTCTTGCAATTGAGATAAAGATGAGGAAAGTTTTTAATTAAATTTCAACTTCTCAATATATTATGTGTTATTTATGTCTTATGCAATCGAGCTACATTATTCAGTACTGCACAATATACAGAACACAAATTATTTCTCTTTTACTCTCTATATTCTCTAGAAATTGACAATGCTGAGAGGTTTATAAATATTGACAGAGGTTTGAAATATACACTAAAAAGCTCTCTCCTTATGCACGTCTTAATTTCAGCAGTGCATCGCAAGTCACTATCGCATGAAACTTGCATGATTTCTCCATCCTGAGCAAACATAACGTATCGAAATTACACTCACCATCATACATCGCTCCCTGCCGATCTCCTTGCACTGCTCGTGCATCGTCTCAATAGCATGATTCCATTTGGTGAGACATTGTCGATAGCTGGTGAGGTCGAATCCTGTTATTGTCACTTTTCTCGATATAATGGAATGCACTGTGGCACGTCCATCTCGTACCATAAAGAGGAATTTTGCCTACGAAACGAAATACAATAAACAATGTACGGAGTTGATGTACAGTCTTTTCTCTTTCCAATTTCCCTCGCTCTATAAATAGGACGAAAATCGAGCGAGAGCGAAAAGAGACCATAGAGAAACCAACACTAATTTAAGGTACAATTTTCCCTATTCCAATTGTATTCTCATCCATCGTCCGCAACAACAATCGAGAGTCTAACTAAGTGATTTGATCCTATATGTATTTGCCCCACATTCACGGGAATCCATTCCCCATTGTGTGTGGAAAGAACACAGACTCACTCTCAGTGGGTGGAAGGGTTGGGGAGAAAATAATAAAACAAACACAATAAAAACACACCCCAATCTCCCGAACATTGTTTGGTTGTAGCTCAAGTCAATTGTGTAATTTTCCTCAATGCTACAGAGCACAACACCCACACTCTATGAATGTCTAAAATATCGCGCGCACAACTTGAGCCGCCGCGCAACAAAGGAAATTTATTATAATTCACCTGAGGGAACAGCTCGATGACATAGGAGCCCATTTTCAGTGTCAATGGATCCTTGTTGCACAATCTCGATGCAGGTTCACCATGTTTGGCAATTATTTCCAGACAAAACTGAGCAATTGCACTATTCATCACCTCCTTGCTTATTCCGGCCTCCTGCAGTCGCACGCTCTCCTTCTCCGATTTCAGCCAGTGCGATCTCAATTGCAAGATACGGGGAATTACCCTCGTCTCCTGACCGCATCTGTAAAAGAAAATTGCTCGCAATTGAGATGGAATTGGTAGCAAATGATATAGACATTGCAATTCAATTCATGCTGTACGGCTTCTCCCATGTTATAGAGAGAAGGACTTAAAGGGTTGCAAACAATGATGTTCTGTGTAGTTAACTTACTCCTCCGTTTACTTGTACATCGGTTGAACTTTAATTGAACATCGAATTGCTCAATTTGATCATTTTGTTCCGCATTTAATTGTACCTCCGCCAAACTTTGATTCCCCTTTCGCCCAATTTACCACAAATCACAATTCAATTCCTCACGCAAAGCTCATTCAATAAAAAAGAACAACATTGCGATAAACTTTCGGCACAAAATATTCTCTGTCTCTCTTTTTCTCTTTAGTGCCACACAAAAAGTTTTCCCAAATGTAATATTTTACGGTTTTAACTCGAATAGGAAAATAAGAAGGTATTGGCGAAGAAAACACGTAAACTATTACATCACATTCAACCTGCTGATCTAACCAAGGGCTAAACTTCATATTTACGATTCATCCCATCCCACAGTGTATCTCATTCTCCAGCTCACCGTGTTTCTCAATCCCTTTTCGCGATGGCACATTTTGCTGTGGAGTAATTCAAACACAAAGAAAGACACACGACAAACGCGTAAAAGTTTCCGAATGATGCCATTAAGGGATAAACAACAAACGGGAAATAAAAGTTCTTGCTTTTTTCCACCACCCATCGTCTTGGTTAACTCACTTCAACCTAAGGCATTCCCCAAACCCCCCGCACCCAGTTCACAGACCATCCTCGGCTTTCTCTCCTCCTTCTGCACAGCATTTCCCGTCCATATTCAACAGAAAATATCATCACCGTATCCCTCATCACTGCCAACAGGCACAAACCCATGCACACACAGAGGAGAAATGCCGGCGAGGGCGTGAGAAAAGTCCAGGAAGGAAAGGCAGAGGAGGGAGAAGGTAAAAACTTTTCTCATGTTTGAAAACAGCCTATTTAATGTGGAAGTTCGGAGAAATGCCTCTCTAAATATACCTACGAATTGTACGCGTATGATTCTGGGATTCCTATTTCCACCCGTAAACCTACAGACATGTCAATTCCTCTGCTATTCGTTTAAGTTTATACATACTTCTGCCATAGCTTCAGGCGTAGATTTCCCCACTCGCCCTCTCTCTCTCTCTCTCACTCTCTCTTTCTCTCACTCCCCACAAAATGCTACAATTATTATTATTCCCCAACATCTTGATGAACCTCACTTCAACTTTATCATCATCGAGCGTGTACAATAATGAAAATCCTCCGGAACATAAGCGATGTCGAATAAAAAGTTCATTAAGCTAATAAAGAAGAGGAAAAACTTTTTTGTTTTCATTTAACTCACAATAAAATTTTGAAAAAATTCCGCGCAAATGGATAAGTTGAAATTCAACAAATTGATTCCATCAAAATTACATATATGGAATAATTAAAATCCATTAAATATTCCATTCGCCATTGATTGAGGATTTTTTTCGCAAATATTTACCAATCCTGTAGTGCTGAGTTACCATAAAATATGTACAGCGTGTTATGTTGTTTAAATCGAAACAGAGAATAATCAATACTTTAATTTTTGCGTCCAGTCCAAAAATGACACATTTTTTATTTCTCACGAACTTTTTCCAGATTATCAGTTTGGAAACTTTGCTCGAGTCCTTGCTTATGGAATATTTATGAGATAAAACTTGGAGAGCATTCTTCCAAGACATCCAAAGTCTGTCAGAAGAACTTTTCCGCTCAAAGGGAAAGCCAAACTCATTCAAATTAAGTATTGATCTTTGACTTTACAGCGTGTTGCATTGCGATTGTAGAATTATTTTAATTGACTTTCAGTCCGATGTTGCTGAAAGTCACAAATTAATGCCTATTTTTAATAAATTATTCTGCTCACTCTCTAAATGAATAAAATTGGCAATTTTGAAATATATACAATTCCTAAAAGTGTGAGTCTGTGAGATTCACAGCTCACGTATTGCAAAGTTTGCAAGAGAAAGAATCTCTCAATTTGATTTCTTATCCATTCCCATTCTCCAACTCTCTAAATTTATAATTCATAGCAACGGAAGAGCGTGAGCAGAGAATTTCAAATTGGCACACAGGAAGTCAGTCAAAATACCAGCCAACAAAAGGAGCGAAAGTTCGCGTAAAAAAAGTGCTTTGACTTATGGCATTACATTTCGTATTAGAGACAAATCGTTCCAAAAGTACGGAGAAAACAAAATGTAAATTGAATTTTTTTCTGCTCTCTTTTCTTGGAACTTTTTTGCGCGAGAGCATGTCTTTGCCGTGCTTCTTCCTCTTCGTCTTCGGGCGAGTGTTGTATTTCATCGTTGAATGGGAAATGAAAACAAATAGCTGAGGGACTCACCGTACATCCGGATGAGCATCGAGCATGGCTCGCATGAGTGTTGTGCCAGAACGTGGAACACCCCCGATGAAAATCAATGGCATATTTCTGTGATAGGGATACACCTTTTGATCCACGCCGACAACGAATTTCTGTCGAGAGAGAAAGAGAGAAGTAAAAAATGGTTCAATAAGACTCAAGTCTCGCCTCCGCCATCGTCTTGCGGACAAGAAAGCTCTCCAAGCTGGAATTTAATTTGCAAATTCAATCAATCAACATACCTCGTCCCGAATCATCATTGGGGCCGTTTGGTCGTCCTTAAAGAGGCACGTCGGTCGAAGCTCAGTGAATTTAAACAGGACCATTGTGACGGCAAAGAGGCAAAACACCCCCAAAAGGGCGGCCCGGCGATTCCTCACACCAAGTCTCATGTCTCCCTTGTCCCTCGTCCTCACTTCTTCTGCCACTGTGCGCTCCACAATCCGACCAGTGCGGTGTCAAAATACCGAATTTAAATAAATATTCACACTTGTTCACCCCTTCCGCTTAACACCGTCGATTATGGCGAAGCTTCTTCTTTGCCTTCACGCCGAGTGTCTCTTCTCTCTCACTGTCAGTTTTTTTTTCTCTACTTCCCCAACATAACTCTTTGCCCAGTTCACCCACACAATCACCAGCACTAATCCCAACACAATTCCACCAGCTTTGCACTTGTCATTCTTCCTGCCATTTGAGGGTGGGTAATAAATTCAATATAAATCCAATCTCTGCTTCCTGTTACCTCGACATCTACGAAAATGGAAAATGAAATGTGTGAGCAAGGTGAAGCATATTTTCCCCCCATTTCTTTCACTTTCAATATCCAGTCCCTCTGCTCGTCGCGCAGCGAGGAAAAATATCAAATTTGCCACGCTAATTTATTCTAATGAGACACCCAACGGAAAATGCCTCAGAAAATTAACACAAGCTGTTGTTCCTTACTTTTGCAATTTCCATAAATTGCATTCCCGTAAAATTAATTGTGCCATTTTTATACCGGCACACAACGAACGTGCTGTGCATCTCACTGAGAGTTGAAGAAACGGTAATGCTAAAACTATAGCGTATTAAATTAACATTCTGTGTTATTTAATAAAGAGTTCTGCACATGCAGAAATATATTCGAAAATAAACAGATTTAAAGTTTACTGTGAATTTCACGTTATAAACTTTTATGCACAAATTGTGCAATGTGCGCCCTTTATTCACCTTTTGTTCAGTGCTTGTATTGTAAGCATCTGTGAAAATATTATGTCAAATGCACCGTGATGTCGCTCACAAACTTACATTTGTGCATTCAAAACACTGCGTTGTGTACTTTGCGATGTGTTTCACACTTTTTACCACCTTTTAACAGCTTCCGCGCTGCTTCCAGATGGAGAGAACCTGAAAATTAGAGAGGGAATTTGATTAAATATCGCACAATTTCGAGTTATCTTTATAACATATCAATTATATAAAATTTGCATAGAAATTGTCTCTGAGAATATTTATCTTACAAATCTAGCAAAGTTTAATGTACAACAAATAGTAAATTGGTTTCACTTTGCCGTTTGGATCCAAGGCAAATTGTTGCTTTGCATTTCCATTTATTCGTATGAAATGTGCAAATTTATTGCGATTAGTCACGTTCGGCATGGTTTTGCATACTTTTTTTTCTCCTCCCCGCCATGTCTTGAAACAGTGCGTGAGATGATTTTCGGAAACACACACAAACTCCTCTTCTTCACTGATAACCATAAGAACGTGCCTTAGATAAAGTCTCTCAGCTCTTTTGACCACGTACAGTGTTTCCCAGCCAGCCCACGAAAATCTGCCACATTTGAAGAATTTACGCTTGTTTACCCACGAGATCTATCAATCTTTCTCACCAGGATCATTTTCTCTTAACTGTTGCATAAATCAATTTTTATTGAATATTCAGCAAATACCCTTTCCCGTCCTGCTTGAAAGCAATTCAATTGGGGTTCTTTCCACCCTTTCCTCGCATGAGGGCCTCCCATTCATGGCATTCAGTCCTTTCTGCCGCTCCTGATGAATGTGTATGATTTTGATGGGAAAAGGTTCGTTTTTTCCTCCCGAATTGAATTATTTATTCTGTACGACCATCATTTTTCCTCCTGGTTAGAATTGTCGTCGTGTTGAATTTTGTTCATAGTGAAAATTCCCAATTCCTCTGAGCTGAGCTTTCTCATACCAATGAAAAAGACACGTATGTGAGGAGAAGGGAAAGACGAAGAAAACGGCACATCCCTCCATATGAAAGTGGAATAGAATAAATTTTAATTTACATAACCAACAATTTCATACACCGTTTTCACATCCTCCCCCGAAAGTGGAGCTCGTTTTTCATTTTAATCGCCCCAGAATTATATAACAAGGAAATTAGGGAGTTTATATATCAAAAGAAATACCCACAATCGCAAAATCCATAAACATTTTCTGTCATACACACGAGGTGACGAAGCTTTCGGCTTTTGCGAAATGCCTACGTTTCCAACCAAAGCATCATATAGATGATGAAGAGTTGTACAATTGCAGAATTGCTCCATATTTTCTTTTACAGAAAAATCATTCGAGTTTCCACGGGCGAAAGAATATGAGGAAAAGAAAGGCGATTAAAGATGAAATTATTCTGTTTATTTCAGCAAGAATTCGTCTCGTGTATGTTGAATTGAAAATTCAGACACATACGATAAATCCCATTTATTTTTTCTGCCTCTCGTCGGTTCCTGTGCCCCAACTTTCCCTTAACAACTCCCACGAGATCATCTCATATCGAATTCACATTTTCCACTGAATCAGCATTAAACTGTTGAGGTAGGTCTTCAAAATGCCATGGCAAGAGAATTTATTCACCTCTCTCGTCGCTCTTGCTCCACATCTCGTTACGAGACGCCCCTCACTCATCAAAGCAGATCAATTTTTCAGCAACAACATTATAATTACACGATTATTAATGGCCACTGCTTAACATGATTAAGTGCTATAAATTTCCAATTTGACTTCGCCACAGACTTTAGCCACGCTTGTGACTTCCTTATTACATCGATGATCATACAATGTGAGTAGAAAGAGTCCAGAATATGGAGAAAATGTGAACGCAGAAGTGGCAAAAAAGACATAAAAGAGGAGACAAAATGAATATTAAATTTTTTCAACTATTCGTATTTCTAGACGACACGAATAACCGGCAAAGTCGTGGCATTTCTGCTAAAAAGAACCACAAGCAGAGGGTTATTCACCTCTTCCCATAGAGGAACATCGTAACGTCTTGAATCACTCACTCAAGCGATAGATAAAAGCGTCATATTCCTCGCGTTAATGAACACCTCACATTCTCGTCTCAACCGCAAATTGCTCAATCACAAATCGCCTTCGTGAGTGACAATGAATTAACAGACAATTAATTTATCAGATTCTCTGATTCATTCATCCTCAGCATTAGATTCAATTTTCCACACACCAACACATTCATCACACTCTCACCTCGTATTTTTCCATCCAATTAGGCATTCAGAACAGTTATCAGCCATCAAGACTGGCTTTTTTTTGCCACCGCACACTCACCACAAAATATCATTTGCTATCCAATTTGATGCAGGAAAATTTTCACGTACTTGCTACAGTTTCGGATCACAGAATCTCTCCGTCTTTCTTCACTCTCTTATTATTCCATTGCACTTGTTGAGATGAAACAAGACAATGTATGGACAATGAGGGAAATAAAAACCAAAACATTACGCAATATGTTCACTTCTCTTCCTTCTCAATAAAACGAAATGAAAAAGAGACACAAAAAATAAGACAATAACTTTTCTTTTTTATGCGGCGAAATGGTCATTTATTCTTCTCTCTCTTTTCTCCCCCTGCTGACCCACAAATTTAATGGTATCACACGAACAAGAGTGTTCACAGTGATTTAGGAGTGGAAGCGTAGTAAAATATTACATTATGTACATTACATCAGCTAAGTTAAATATTTTGATACTGAGATATCTATAATCACAATCATTTGTCAAGAAAAAATTACTATAACAGTCCTCGGGAACGGAGAGCAAAATTTTGTAGTGTTAAGAGAAATATTATGAGTAAAATCATTCAACGCTCTTCTCCATTTGTCATATTTAAAAGCCAATTATGAATTCTCTATGAATTTTCAGAGCTTGAATTAATTTTTCGGTCATAAATGGTCAACAATAAATATGCTGAAATTAAAACTTCCCAATTCCCAATAAAAGCTCGTTATTTCAGCATTGTAATTGCCTGTCAAACCCACTTTCAAAGATAAACAAAGAGATAACATTTTCTGATTGATTAATCAAAGCACAGCAATTGTGAAAAATTAAAAAGTGTCCCAATTAATTTTAATAGCTTTATATCGATTTGAATATTAAAAGTTGGACTCTCACAATGATGCAAATTCTGAAAGGGAATTTTTGAAATATTAAACCATGACGATGAAAACACATTAAACATTTCCCTCGAGGTGAAATGCATCCCGAATATTGAGCCATAATCATAACTAAATATTGTATTTCTATTGTGAACATATACGGTGTATATAGCAAGTTGAGTGTGTGTGTATACACAGCAAAGTGTCGATATCAGTACAACAAAAGCGACTGCAGAGGAATAAGAATAAGAATTTTCGTCGAATAAACAGCCAAACCATCTGTTAATGTCACGATATCGTATTCTTCCATTTTCCCTCCTTTTTCCCCTTTTACTTGGCTCTTGTCCCCTTTGCCGAATTCACCCAAAAGCTTTTTGGAGCTTTTCCATATCTTCAAGCTCCCAGAGCAAGAGGATGTGCGGTTGAAGATGGGGTAAAAAGCAAGATTTTCCCACGATTGTACACAGTCTGCAAGGAGCAGTGCATGGAGAATAGAAGTCAGTGGACGTCAGACATACAAATGTTCAGCATCTCCATATCTGGAGGGAGAAAGTGACTGGGAAAGTGTTGCTAGAATTAAAATCTCCTCAATAATCCCCTTGACCATTCGCCCAAAGTGACAACATCATGATAGTCATCAACAAAGTGGACAACTGCGGCTCTTTATTGAGGGACAGAGGGACGATTCTCCACACAAAAGAAAGTCCCAAAGCATTGGTTGCCACAGTGGCATCGCTGTTTGCAAGCTCTTCGCCACACTGAAAATACACACCAAGGATTTTCTCAGCTTGTGAAAATCGCTTTGTCATCCGGATAATATTGGTGCCGTCATTCCATCGAAAATTTATATTGAATCTGCTCAACCCTCAGATAGTTGTCGCAACTTCCCATATTACCAAAAATCCTTTTCCCTCACCCAGAATCACCAGTGCGTTCGAGAAGCATCGGCAACTTTTGGGGAAAAACATATCTTCGCTATGAAGCCTGAATGCAGTGGTATAGCGAAAAAAAACTTTGATCTTCGATTTATATTCCATCAAGTATTTAGCTTCAGTGATTCATGAAATTACACCATTTCGCCATTTTTCATCCCATGAGTTTATGCCGCTTCTTTTCCATGCTCCTCAGCCAAACTATGGCGAATCAGTCAACCATTTAATCTGCAGTCTCTCCATTTCTTCGTCGGTTTTATCAGGAAAATGATCTTCAAACTTATTTTTTGTCTACTCACACCCCTGAAAACACACTCACATAAAGGTTATTAAGACAACATGTGTATGAATATAACTTGTTGCCATTGTGCAACTTAAGCACATCATCATTCATTCAACGGTGAGCTGAGTAATTGCACAATTTCCAAATATACACAACAAAGTTATCTCGCAATTGCATTATTGAGTTAACTTTTGAATTGAGATAAGATAAGAGTGTGTTTTCATTGACATACCATAAAAATTCCACCGACAATAACATCAATTTTCCCAGCAAAACTTACTATTTTCTCCACTCATCAAATCATCATTCATAAGTGCTCATTTAAATTCATGCGCGAAAGAGATGGAGTTAATTTTTTGCTTGCCATTTTCACATCATTTCTCCTTTGTGCAATTTTGCGAAAAACTTTTCATTCACAAATACAAATATTTTTCACTTTTTATACTGAGAAAAATAACAGAGTCTTGAAACATATGCAAAATATTGACACTTCAAATTTAAGACATTATTAAATACACGTAACACCAAAACAATAATTATGGAAAATCGTAATTCATATAATATATTTGCTCTGAATATTCAAGTGTATTATAGCTGAGTATAAACCACTTAAAGCAATGAATAGTTCCAATAAAGTCTCTGACATCCTCACAATATGGAGATATTTTGATAAGGATTTTACGTCACAAATACATACTACACATTATATTATATTCTGTCTCTAGGCAATGGAATAATTTACTTCCCACCATCACACATTTTCATCATAGCGCGATTTCATTGATGTGGAAGGAAATTGAGAAAGATCATATTTTCCCATAACGTTTGATAGGTTTATTAAAAGTTGTACGATAAGACACGAAATAGATATCATATGATATATTCCTCTGTTTCCACAATGTATCATGATTTTCCACAACAATGTAGGATGCGTGCATTGATTGTATTGTGAAAGAGTTTCTCAAATAATGCATCTCAATTCACATTGACAAGTTTCGTGCTCGAATTACTATATTTCATGGAAGATACATTTGATATTCCATGCTCAATTAATGCCATTCCTTCACAATTCTGCCCCACTATTTAATTGAAATCATAAAATATACATACTTTCAAATAAATCTCCGCTGAGAGATTCAAAAGATAGAGCCATAATAAATAGTGATCAACTATATTAATGTGTTTGCAGTCTGGAATCCAATTTCTCTGCAATCAGTTAAGACACAATTAAGGCGCACTTGTGATTAAAATGAGCACGCAAGTATACATATACAGTGCTTTATAGATTGGTATTGATTGAAAATTTCGGCCGATAAATTAGCTCAAGGGGAGACAATGGGTACTTTAGATGGATCTCTTGGGGGGTGAAAATTGGCGTAAACACTGCCAGAACATCCATTATATTGTCAATTTTCTAAATTAAAGGACGATGGAAATGTCTTAATTGGATGAACACCCATTTTCACCTTTCATTGCTAATAATTTCCATTACATCTGCTCTGTTATTCCATACACACCAGCTATTTATTGTTCTTTATGCTTTTACCTCATCAAATACCATCTCGAAAAAGACAACTTTTCCCTCTCTCATTGTTAAACATGCGAAAACTGCTTGTGATAATAGAAAAGTGTCTGCGTGAATGTTAAAATAGGGATAATTTCACAGCGAGAAATGGGATTAATGAGATGATCTCACAAATTGCAAATAATCTCATTTACACATTCGTACAATTCCCATCTCTAAACTTCACTCTAACGGGATCCTAATATATTAACCTTTTTCCCACCCTTATTATCTTATCACAATCAAGTGAGAATGAAAGTGGAGATAAAGTTTGCGTCACGGAATATAAATTTCCCTGGTCATTTCCCATCTACGAGTTCTGCCCGCGCGCGTTTCACTCTTGCTAGCTTAACGAGAGTGCCTCAATTTCTGTGAAACGTTTTACCTTGGCTCTTCCGCCCGGAACATTTCTCGAGAAAATCGTCTCTCTGCAGACTTTTGTCGACATTGCGCGCACCTCTGAAGAAGCACATGCACTGAAGAGACTGAAGATTTCACCATTGAGGAAATAATAAGACTTATCAAGACCACTCTCGCTATACACTTTGATGTGAATGGCTCAATATCGCCTTTAGTTGGATACTATAATTAAAATTAGTGGACGCGCCACCGCATAAAATAGCCAGATGATGCGGAATTAAATAGTAGAGTGTTTGTTTGGGAAGGCGAAGGAATACCTCTAAAATTAACTTGTTCATCATTTGTAAATATTCTCCGAATCGCCCATTCGATATTATTTGAACTATATAAGCAAACATTATGCCGTTCAATTTACTCTTTTGCCTCATCATGCAGAGACTTTACATAATCTCTGAAAAAATAAACAGGGAATTATTAATTATCTTCCATGCAAACTGTGTAGGAAGATGCCCACAATTTTTTCCATCACATTTCGAAATTCACCTCCAAAGAAAACTATGAACACGATGAACTCTTGCTTTTTTGCCATTATAAGGCTGAATAATAAAAAATGCAGTCACAGAGACAATTAGGAAAACCGAGGTGAAGACGTCACCTTTGTTTGAACTTCTCTTCCATTATCCACTCTTCTCCTTCCCCAAACCGGCAAGAAAGACAACGGCAAGAAGAGGGGTTTTCTCGAGTAAATAGAAAAACGGAGTGAAACACAAATAGAGAATTAATTTATGCATCGCATCTCTCTCACTCTCTCGCTCTCTCTCTATTTCGTGCAATCTCAAACTTCTCTTCCTCTGACACTCTAATTTCCCAACTTTTCGAGTTCATGTTTGTCAAACATGGAAATATAAGAAGTAATGAAAGTATGAAAAGTGTGTAATTAAAATATAAAACAGGCAGATGTGCTACATATAAATAACTGGCTGTTGAACTTAGATAACTTTTTCGCCGTTTCGCTCCCGCCCTAATGAATATTTAATATTTAAACACACCGCGCGCGCTCTTCTCGCACCCAAACACTGTGCGGCCGCACAACTGGAGGATTTCTTGTATACTCTATGCGACTCTCCAGGGGAAAATTTACACAAGATTAAATCAACTTTTTCCATAAGAATCTTCTCCAGTCCTTGCGTTGATATTTCTTCTCATTACACGTTTTTTCGCCGCATGACCAAGACAATTAGCACGAAACATAATTCAACCTATCGCCAGAGGATTGTGTGTGCAGAGAAATTAGAATCTCTCCCAGTTTATATAAATAAATCCACATAAGAGGCTCACAATTTCTTAGAATAACCAACACTGCGCTAAACAGTATCATTATAATTCCAATTACATAAATGATTCAATAAAATTCATCGAACTTTTCATGTGAATTATATATTAGACAATTACTTGCAATCAACATCGTAAAGTTGTTCGAACTTTTCTAATATTACACCCTCAAATCCCGTTGTGTGGATTTATTCAGAAGCTTCTCTTGGCAATCATTCTAAGTTTAGCACTTATCAGCCCCTCAAACTTACCAGTCTCTGGCTCTCTTGGGAGTTGATAAAAATCCACAATGTCCTTTGGAATGTTTCCGGCTGACGGTCGAATTCTCTTGTGTGATGTGCAGAATGCTGTCGCGCTTCTCTTTAATCCCTTCACGACACACTGGCCAGGAAATGTGCGACCACTAAAACTGTTTTAATTATTCTTTCACGAGTGTCTCTCCTCCCCAAAATTCCACCATCGCAGGAAAAAACGCGCGCTCTCTCTGCCATTCTTCATGCATCACACCGGATAATTGGTCAACTCATATTAAGCGCATTTAATGTGTTTTTAATTGAATTAAAATTGTACGAATAACACTTTCCGGACGATGACATTTTTTGCTGCATTTTTTCATCTCTTGCTTTTTTTGTTGGTCCAAATTGGAAAATCGAGAGTCATTAAATCATCAAATGTAGTCTATACACGGCGTAATCCTCAATTTGTGGTATTAATTGAATTTAAATTGAAGTATTTTGTACATTGGGATTATTTTGCGAAATATACAACACACATTAATCGCACGATGAGGAGGAAAATAATTCGATTTCCAGTGAAAATTGATTTAAGCTCGCGATGAATGCTTAATGGTATTAAAATGTGAAGAAAATGATGCAGATGAAAGCGTGATTTTAATTGAATCTCACACTCGCGCGTCTCACTGATCAGACGAGATGAATTGACGGGAGACTCGAGAGACAGAGAGTGTGGGACAAGCCAACACACCTTCCCTTTCAGCTGATAAGGAGGCCAAGATAAGCGCACCTCTTCCTCGCGATGCTTCAATCGCCCAATTTGACCCCAAAATTCACGCACAGCCCGGAGGAGATTCGCACCAAAACCACTTCAGAGCGACAGATAAATCCTCGGTGGAGCAATTTCCGGTGACATCTCAACGCCCGGAAGATGCTGGACGTGAGAAGATTCCCGGAAATGGCAGAGAGCGCGAAGAGGAGAGGGAAATACTTGGAGAGAGAGTCACCCACCCGGAAGGAAGACACGCCAGGAGGAAATTATCATAACGATCACACGATTCTCTGGCAGGAGAACACAAGGGCACACTCAGCGATGTAAATCATGTGAGGTGATCGACTAAACTAAACCAAACACACTTTCCGAGCGGTGGAAAATGAGGAAAACCCTCGCATTCGCACAAGACAAAAAACTCACAAAACGTCACTGGAATGTCAGAGCAAAGTGTCAGATTTGAGCAAATCCGAGTGAAAGAGGGGAAATGTGCTAAAGAGCGAATTCATGATTTTCAACCCAAGAACTCTGTGATTCGCGGAAAAGAAGTAAAAATCTGTGGAAATGGTTGAAAATTAACGTAGTGAGTTGTGTTTTATCAGAATTTGTGGTCATTTATTTTCAAAAATACAGTCAACGGATAATGCTGTACTAAAGCCCAAAAACACCCCCATTGTGCACAGTGGCGACGCGTGGCGTGTTCTCGCAGTACTGTGCGTTTGTGTAGTGAAAAAGTTGGAAAAAGTGATTTTTGTTCTCCGGGAATTTTTGTGGCCACCTTTTCACTCAAAAAATCGCCATGAAATTGCTGAAAATCTCCGAAAATGGGTTCAATTACATCCATGCTGCAGTGGCAGTGCACAAATTGTAACTTGATCAATCCAACGGAGAATGTAAAGTGTCTGAATTGTGAGAATGTCAGAATCATATTTGAAAGCCACAAATCATCTGGAAATTATAGCGATGGGTAAATTTTGAACAGTTTGTCTCGCTGTTGTGTGCAATATTGTCCTGCAGGGTCAACGAGAAGGACACCCGGTGCGAGGGAAGGGGCCAGGAAGAGGGATTTTCGGTGTCTTTGCGAAAGGGGGTCTTCGGCGGAGGGGTTTTTGTCTGGTGGAAATTTGCGCTTTGACAGCTGCTGGTAAATTTCATGAACAAAACTCCTTGTTTTTAGTTGATAATCTCATGGAACATTATCAAATATTCATCCCCAAATCGCCTCCACCACGATTGCCAGGGCTTTCCTGATGAAAGAGCCGTGCGCTAATTTGCCGAGGGAGCATTCAATTACACCCCCAAAATTCTCTTGGCTCTTTCACCTTTTCCTCTCTGCTCACTTTTTCTCTATTTCCTCACACTGTGTGCCGCCTCTACACTGCTGGCGAGCAGTTTGGGGACGCCCTGACGTCAGGACGCGTCCCTGAACCGATTGCCAGCGGGGCCGCACGCTTCTGGGGCGCGGAGAATTGTGTGGCACTGAAGACGAATTCCTCTGTTTGCAGCGGTGAATCGCGTAGGGTGTATAAGATTATAAGGCACTACGAGGAGATCTACTTCAAGGAGTTGATCCACCAGTACTTTGGCGCCCAGCAGGAGGCGTTGCGCGTGAAACTGCCCCGCTTCCCGAGCACTCCCAGTCTCACGCGAACATGGAACTGCCAGACGTGCTCGAGTCTCAACCGCAACTCCGTCACGTGGCACTGCCTCAACTGTGAGACGGTGAGCTACTTGGCGCCCATCTATACGGAGACGCTCAAGAGGAACCCTGAACGAGATGCCACCAAGGCCAGCGTGGCAGAATCCACCACGAGAGTTTTTCACTGTTTCCGGACGCGCTGCCTAAGCATGGACTCGGGCGACTACCACATCCGCCGCTGCGCCTCGTGTCTACTCAACGCTTCGAGCTTCTTGCTGGAGAAGAAGTACCACCTGTGCGCCCATCAGAAGCAGGAGCACAACCTGGCCGTGCCGCCGTCCAGCCGCGTTAATCGATCCGGCTGTGCGGCACTTGTGGGGAAGCAGCAGCGCTCATTGGACGAGTCCGGGCGCGAGACGCCGTACTACTCCAACCAGAAGATTAACAAGTCGCTGTCCAACATCGCCGATCCGCTGTTCGGCGACAGTCACTGCGGGCGATCGAATGCGGACGCTTCTGCCTCAGGTAGACGAGATTGTCCCGATACGCTGTGTGCCATTGTGTCACTAAATTCCACTTGATTTCCTTCCATTTCCGCTACAATCTTCCGTGATTCCGTCCAGTTATTCTCTCTCACTCCCTCTCGCTCCACAAAGTGGCGTCGAGGGGGAAAGATACAATTTTTGGCCTTTTGGGGGCACTTTTCTCCCTCTTCTTCCCATCGCGATAACCGAAAGAGAACCGCAAAAAGTTCCCTTCGCGATATAAGAGATTATGCGAGAGTCGTTAGAAGTGCAGTGATATTGATTGGGTGAGAAAAATTGAAGAAGAATGCAAATACTGTTATTCATTTTTATAGAAATTGTCTAGTTTGATGACCCTTGAACTCCTTCGACAGCGAAGCTCCACAAAATTCCTCATTTGCCCACAAATATATTCATATTTGTATGAACTCAAGTTCGATATCAAGTTTCACGATTCTTTTTATTTCGTGAGACTTTTTCACTGAAACAGTGTTTTAAATTAATTGACGTCCATTTCCACTCTGTTCATTTAGCGAATTTGTGTATATTTTAACACAAATTCTCTGCAAACAATATATTTCTCGGTTTATAATGATTTTTTAACGGATGCGCTTTAGGCGTTGTTTGCCTTTTTTCTGGCTAATTTATTTGCCAACGCTTTATCAGGTAATTTCAGTGTCGCTCTTTTTCACCATGTGATTCTGTACTCATGCAAATCCACTCATCATGACCTGACCTATTGTGGAAAAAAGTGTAAAAGAGAGTTTAGTATTTTGACCTCACACTGTGCGGAGATTGTTAAAATATGCATGAAAACGGTCATTATTTTTACTTAATTATTTAGACACACCGCACTGTTGGTGTCATCACGCAATAGAGAGGGAAAAAAAACGAGAGAAGTGTGTGTAGTAATAGGAAAAAAAACATGCTTCAATTCGGTAATCAATAGGCTTCTCCTGATGATAATCAAACCACTGTCCTCTTTAATAGACCTGTTCATTAGTGCGCTGTTCTCTGATTGGGAAACTTCTGTCGCTGGGGAAGAAGCGGGACAGAAAAAAGTGGTTGAATTTCTTGTCTCTCGCAAGTTGTTGGCTAAATACATGATTTTTATGACGATGTCAAAGTGGAGTTAAGATTGTATGTAATGACTATTGGGCTTTTCTAATGGCTTTTCCGAGTATTTTTGTATATTTCTGGGTGAATCACAGATGTTGTGAGTTGATGAAAGACCTCGGGAATTTTTACATTATACATTGTGAATCTAATCAAAGAGAGTGAGTGTGTTGGAGGAGAAAAAAACAGGGCCCAAAAGACCAATTTGTATTCCTTTCTATGACAATCCCTGTGTTGTTTCTCCTTTTCCATATGTGTGTTATATTTACTGTTTTCCGTGGACAAACAAGGATTTCCCACGTATAGTTTTATTGAGTGACACCGTGGCTCCAAATTCCCTTTAACGACGAAAGCAAGAGTCTCATTTGTCTGTAAATAACTCCGTCCATTTGTCGACCCGTAGCCTCCGGATCAATGGGGAAGACTCGTCTCTATTGCGATGTCTGTGGTGTGTGCAATAGGAATCAGTGCAGTTCGAGTGACACGAGCTGCAGTACGCGCTATATTGTGACGACAATCTCAAGGAGTGGCAGTGTGAGCCTCACTAACAGTCAGCCACTGGTGGGCGCGAATCTCCAGCGGAATGGCGAGTGCAGTGCCAAGGAGTGGATTGCCTCGGGGACTCCTGTGGCGTCTGCACTGGATGATAACTATTATGAGGTGCTGAGACAATCGAGTGAAGCCAAGAGCAACAACAATCCACCGTATGAGAATCACAAAGTCATCTCAAAGGTCGCCCACATCTATGAGAATCAGTCTGTGGTGTTGAATCCGGACAATCGCGAGGAGCAGCGCTCTGAGCCTGTGTACGCGGTGGTGAATAAGCACAACAAGGCGCGCAATAGGGTCAATGCCACGGACCCAAAATACTCGTACATTGGGATCTCCGATCCGGGGCGCATCGCCAGTCAGCTGGGGTGCCTGAAGAAGCCCCAGACGGAGACACTGTACGCCACAATTCGCCACACATCACCGCAGAACAACAATCCACAGAGGCTGACCAGTCTGATGGACGGTGGGAATCTGAAGGCCACGCAGATCGCCTCAACGTCCTGTCTGAATCGCCTGGAGATGCAGGACAGCTCAGTGAGTGGCGTGGCCTCGGGTGGAGGAGCTTGCGATGGTAGTGAAGTGTACAGCAAAGTGTGGAAGGGGCCGAGAAAAGTGTATGTCCAGTCGTTGTTTCGTTGTTGAAAAGCCTTATTATTTTATTATCTCTCTTTCTCTCTCTCTTTGGTTCTCTCCCTGCCTTGTGCAAAGCATGGCTGATGTAGTGTGTTTAAGTGTTTCTTTTAGCGATTTATTATAGATGACTTTAGGCGCTGATCCCCATTGCCCAAACCCACCTTTATTTCATTCTAAAATGAATGTGATTTGAAGTTCATGTTGTATAAAATTTGTGTGAATTTACAGGAGTGTATAGAGTTGAGATGGTGTCGCTTAAGAGGAGAGACTCCGTGTATGGAATAGCATATATAAATGCAGAGTTTATTGAGTATAAGCGAGAACATTCTCAACTCTATGCCACTGGAAATTCCTTCAGTAAATCCCGCAACAATGCATTGTACACGAGTGTAATGCCTGCATTGGAACTTTCAGGACAATGGCAACACCCACAACTCCTGCTAAAGCGGTAACGCCGACTTCTGTGCCGAGGATGTGGACGTGCACCAAGTGTTCGTACGCCTACAATCCTCTCTGGGTGGAGCAGTGTGATATCTGTGAGTCTAACAGGACGCCCGCTTCGCTCACGCAGCCGTCACTGATCACCGTGACGAAGGACGGCGGCGTGATGCGGACGTCTGGCTCAACGAAGGAACTCAAGTCGTGCCATGGCTTCGATGAGGTGCCGACACTCGTGGAGGTGCCAATTGCCACTTTTGAACAGGATCTCGATGATGACTTCATCGACGGCAGCATCACAGAGGCCGAGTGGACGTGCAAGAAGTGCACTCTAGTCAATCTCCCAGGATCAATGGCGTGTGTGGTGTGCGGAGGTTCAAAGTTGCGCAGCATCACGATCACGGAGGACAAGACACTGCGGAAGGGAGAGTTTTGGGCTTGTCACCAGTGCACGCTGAAGAATTCTCTGTCCACCAACACTTGTGTGGCCTGCAAGTCAGCACGCCAAGTGCCCGTGATCTCGGGCCATCAGACCAACTATCGACCGTACACAGCCTCGGGTCCTGGCCATCAGTCGACATCGTCCTCAAATGCTAGTCACACCAACAAGGTGGGATATCATCACAATCGTCAAGTTCTGGGCTCCATTCCCGCCAATTCCGCCAACAATTCATCCATTTCGCCAGTGGCCAGCACTCCGGCGGCCAACAGTCTCGCCGTGCCCGCCCAGAGGGCATCCAGGAGTCCCTCGCCGCGCCACGAGAGATCGTCCGGAGCCATTCCCAAGCGCCACTCCACGGGAGCCGTGATTGGGCGCAACAGCAGCGGCGGCCACACTAATAGGCACAGCAGGTGAATAAACTAGAGAAGTCTCTCTCGGGCGGGGGGGTTTGTGTGGGAAAATTCACAAGTTTCGTCAATTGAAAGTTGCTGAATTATGAATGAGTTTCGTCCCACGCGCAAATAGGGGAAGGGCGGGGGTGACGGAGGGCTATTTTTGGCACTGGAAAATTGAGGATGAATAAGGAAGATTGTGAATAAACTCAGAGGGTCACCAAATGATAATATACTCAATAATTCAGCAATGAATTTCTTCAGCTTCTTCTGGGCTTTTTTTTTTAAGAATGTATACATATTTTAAAGTTCTTGTTTGCCCTCATTTCCTCTCACTTTTCAGGGGTTTAATTTAGAGAGACTGAAAAGGGAAGGTGTCGAAGTCAAAAGTTTAAAGTTTATAGTTGCTTTTGTTGACTAAACAAATGAAATTTCAGACGTTCAGAAAATAATGGTTTTCTAGTATGTATGATGCTGCTTTATATTGAAAATTCTCAAAATATTGTTCACATTTCCACCCGAATTTTCCTTCTTGTCATATTTTGGTTGTACTTATGTAAAGTGCTGCTTATTAAATTTTCATAATCCCTGACCGACACTCGCAGAGAGGACATTTGTGAAACCTCTAATTTCATACTTTTGCCTCTTCCTCTTGCAGCGGCAGTCCGTCGACAAAGACATGGCAATGTCCGGCGTGCACTTTCGAGAACTCATCGGCGAGTGTTGTATGTGAGATATGTTCTAGTCATCGTGGGTTATTGATAAACAACGCCGCCCCGGGGGAGTCGAGCGGCGGCAATGGGGCGAGTGTAACATTGTCTGGTGGCGATGCGAGTCAAATGGAGAGCAAATTGATGGAGAATCTGCGTCAGATTGAGGAGAATGAGGCGAGAAACAAGTGGGAGCACATCATACAGTACTGCCGAGAGAATGGTGAACTCTTTGTCGATGACTCCTTTCCGCCGGCACCGCGGAGTCTCTACTACAATCCCAATTCCAATACGGAGAACAATCCGGTGGTGCAGTGGCGTCGACCGTCGGAAATCAACTGTGACGGCGGCAATTTTCCACCGTGGGCAGTTTTCAGGACGCCACTGCCGTCGGACATTTGTCAGGGTGTGCTGGGGAATTGCTGGCTCCTCAGCGCCTTGGCCGTTCTCGCTGAGCGAGAGGATCTCGTGAAGGAGGTGCTGGTGACCAAAGAAATATGCCCTCAAGGAGCTTATCAGGTGTGTTTCTCAAGTACTTGAGCAATGAAAAATGTCCATATTTTCTAACTCTGCTTCCCTTTGCAGGTTCGCCTGTGCAAGGATGGAAAGTGGACAACTGTTCTGGTGGATGATCTTCTGCCGTGTGATAAGCGTGGCCATCTGGTCTACTCGCAGGCAAAGCGGAAGCAGCTTTGGGTGCCGCTGATCGAGAAAGCGGTGGCCAAGATTCACGGCTGTTATGAAGCTCTTGTCTCTGGACGAGCCATCGAAGGTCTGGCCACACTCACGGGCGCTCCGTGTGAGAGCATCCCTCTGCAGCCGAGTTCACTGCCAATGCCCAGCGAAGATGAGCTGGACAAGGATCTCATCTGGGCGCAATTGTTGAGCTCGCGCCTCGTGAAGTTCCTCATGGGCGCCAGCTGTGGCGGCGGGAACATGAAGGTGGACGAGGAGGAGTACCAGCGCAAGGGCCTGCGACCACGTCACGCCTATTCCGTGCTGGATGTGCGTGACATCCAGAACCATCGGCTGCTGAAGCTGCGCAATCCGTGGGGACACTATTCGTGGCGCGGCGACTGGTCAGATGACTCACCGCTGTGGACGGATGAGTTGCGGGAGGCGCTGATGCCTCATGGGGCGTCGGAGGGGGTGTTCTGGATCTCCTTCGAGGATGTGCTCAAGTATTTCGACTGCATCGACATCTGCAAGGTGCGCAGCGGGTGGAATGAGGTGCGCTTGCAGGGCACGCTGCAGCCGCTGTGCTCGCTGTCGTGTGTCTTGCTGACGGTGCTGGAGCCCACGGAGGCGGAGTTCACGCTGTTCCAGGAGGGACAGCGCAACTCTGAGAAATCCCAACGATCTCAACTTGATCTCTGCGTTGTGATATTTAGAACGAGATCCCCTGCCAATCCCGAGGTGGGGAGACTCGTGGAGCACAGCAAAAGGCAGGTCAGTGTCTGGAGATTGAGTGTCTTTGAGCCTCTGGGAATGGATTGATGAGGAGTTGTGTTTTCTGTTTTTGGCAGGTTCGTGGCTTTGTCGGGTGCCATAAAATGCTGGAGAGAGACTTGTATTTGCTAGTTTGCCTGGCCTTCAATCACTGGCACACGGGCATCGACGATCCTTCGCTTTATCCGCAATGCGTTCTGGCCATTCACAGCTCCAAGAGACTGCTCGTGGAGCAGATCTCGCCGCCTGGATTCCTCCTGGCGGACGCAATCATCAGTCTCACGCTGACCAAGGGACAGAGGCACGAGGGCAGAGAGGGCATGACAGCGTATTACTTAACCAAAGTGAGTAATTCTCGCTCTTCTTTGCTATGTGATTGGGTTCTATTGTTGCGGTTCTGCTTCCAGGGTTGGGCAGGACTTGTGGTGATGGTTGAGAATCGCCACGAGAACAAGTGGATCCACGTGAAATGCGACTGCCAGGAGAGCTACAACGTCGTGTCGACTCGCGGAGAGCTAAAGACTGTTGATTCCGTGCCTCCGTTGCAAAGGTCAGTGTGTGATTGCTAATCATGTTTCCGTTATTCGCATTCGATGTGATTTTCCTTCCAGGCAAGTCATAATAGTCCTCACTCAACTCGAGGGAAGCGGCGGCTTCAGCATTGCTCATCGACTGACTCATCGGCTGGCTAATTCGCGGGGCCTCCACGATTGGGGCCCGCCCGGATCCACTCACGTGCCGCCCATCGACAGCGTTCACGGCCTCCACGCGCCGCGGCTCATCACCTGAGCCTGCGTTCACTTTCATTTCTCTGATTTCGTCGCAGAGCCACGGAAGGTGGAAAGGAGAGAAGATCAAGTAATTTTTAAGGAATAAAAGGCTGTTCTTTGTATTTAACCACGATATGAATTCTCAAGAGTTATGATTGTGTTTTAGGATTACCAAAAAAAAAAAAAGAAAAAGCATGCAAAAGAATCTCACGACGAAAAGTATAATCTTTTAGAGGCATGTGAAAAAGAGTGTGAAAAGGGAGAAGTTTGTGTTTTCTGGACCAAAACTAATCACTCACGCAATGGGCAAAAATGCTACAAAAAAAAAGAATTCAAGAGAAGAATGATTGCAATTGTGATAAATTTGGGAGACTTGTGGCGGCATTTTGTAGCCTTTTTGGTATTCCCCATTCACAGTGAGAGTCATTTTATTAAATGTTGTGCAAAAGTGGCAAATTTTAACAGGCGCGCACCACCTTTCACTTAAAAAAAAAGTACTATTTGTTCAAATTTACCATATTAAAAACAATGATTAAAATCGAGAAAAAGGTTGATTTCGCAGATGTTACAAGAAAAAAAAAAAGTTGATATGATAAAATAGCAAAAAATGATGGATAAAAGACAAATAGCTGGACGAACAATACGAGAGAGAGAGAGAGACGGATGACAAGAAATTGATGTAAAAACTATTTACTAAATTGTGTTCAATTGATTAAATAGTTCTGAACATTTTAAAGCACACCTTCTCACTCATTTCGTCTCCATTTCGTCCTCCGTCGCCGCCAGAACGCGCACTTTTGAGCGATTCTCATCTTCTGGATCCCGGAATTGCGTCTCCATCTTCCGCTTCTTCGCTTCCTTGAAGCTTCCGTGGCCAGCCGCCCTCTCGGCCTCCTCAACTGAATAGGGCTCCGTTTCCAGGGCCTTCATTCGTCTCTTGTGCACCTTCGTCCGGAAGTGTGACTGCAGAGCGTTGTCGTCAATGAAGTACTTGGCGCAGTGAATGCAGTAGAACTGGGCAAAGCCCGCCTGCTCCAGATCTACCTCCTGGTTGAGCAGCTGGTCAGACTTCTTGGTCAGATCTTCATCAATCTGCAGAACAAAACAGAGGAAAACATTGTAACATGAGATTTTTGCAAACACGCTTTTCTCACCTCGTCCAAGTCCTTCTTGCGACTCCGAGTCCTCCAGCGACGCCTCAGATGCGTGTCTCCCGAGTGCATCTTCTTCCTTCGCTGTGGCTTTCCCATTTTCTTTGATTTGCAAAGGAAATTCCGCCCACTTAAAATGTAAACACACGTGCATGCGAATGACAGCAGCGATATATCGCGATATAATATCGGAAAATTAGTACAAGAATTTCAAATGCCGAGCTTTGTGCTAAACAGAAATAACGAATTTCAGCCAGGAAGAAAAACTCAGCGCTCAATTAACACTACAATTTTATTTTCGCCGTAGAAAATAATTCCACTTATGTGAAAAAACAGATTTTCTCAAGAGAGTTACTTCATGAAATCCCTTCTTGAGAAAATCTTTACAATTGTAAAATACTTCGCAATAAATAAACATATAAAATTGGGAGAATACCATTGAAGATTCTCAAAAGTTATTACACTGTAGAAATGCTTGCGTATAATCTCATAATCTAGGGAAAAATGTACGTTTAGTTCTCGAGTCTTTGCGCAACAGAAGCACATTGCAGTCCACATTTTCTCATTGTTCCTCCATTGATAAATCAATGCACTTCACAGAAGCACGAATTAATTGAACAACACCTTTTTGGCCACCTCACGAAATGCTCTAGCGCACGGAAAGCCCCTGATAAGCTGATCAATACACCTAGTCGTTGGGATTGGACAACACCACGCTGCTGCCCTGGCTGCTCACATCCTCATCGCGCCCCTGCGCCTCCGCCCTCCTGGGGAAGTTCTTCGTGCCGCGCCTCTTGATGCGCTGGTACAGCTCGTCAATGGACGACTGGCTCTCGTCCAGCAACTCCCGCTCGTCCCTCAGGTCACTCTGCGAACCCAGCAGATAGTCGTGCGCATCGGCTCCAGTGTCGTCATCGTCATCCTCATACTCTCTGTCCGCGTCACTCACTTCGGACGCTTGGTAGGCGAATGTGAGGCTGTCCTCGCCCGTCAGCGTGAGATCGTTGTCCGGCGGCTGCGGCGCGTACAGCCCGTGACTCCGGATGCTGATCTCCGAGTGCTGGTAATTGATGTCACTCTCGCTCGTCGGACTGGACGTGAAGTGTCTCGCAATGGCCGACAGAGGAGGATTGAAGATCAAGTCCGTGCCACAATCCATGTCGTACGACGTCGACGCCTGCTGATGGTAGTCATCGATATCACAGAGACTCGGGGAGAACAGAACGGGACTGCTGCTGGTCTTCATCGGCGGCAGCAGGACGTCCGACATGAGAGACACGTTGTTGAAGGAGATCGATCTGGCTCGAGTCTCTCGACACTGCGCCGTAAATGATCTGCTCAAGTTGTCCATGGACTTCGAATGGTTCTGCCGCAGTTGAACATCACATTCTGGCATCTCAAGCAGATCAGATGCGTATTCCTCCTCCGGCACTGAGAAAGATAGAACAGCAAGACAGAAATATTAAATCCATTGAGTGAAGTTGTGGCATTGCAAACTCACCTGCTTCACTGGATGACTCTTCCTTGACCTCCGGAACAGCTTGCGGTATCACGATGGGCAGTCCAAGGGTGTTCATAGCCAGGATTGGGCTGCTCAGCGACAGAATTACCAAATTAGAGTCATTGGTGGTTCTCAATTCCAAGCACGTCGGCACATGAGTGCTTGTCTTGGACGTTGACGGAGCCTCTGGATTGTCGGGCGATCTCTCCTCCTCCTTGATGCTCTTGAAGGGATACTGCCCGTCGAACGACTGGTTCACATAGTGCGGATCATTGTCCGAACTCAAATTGTCATCATCGTCATCCTCGTCGGTGTTGATGGACTTCTTGAACCTCTCGTCAGCCCTCATCGTCACTGTCTCATGCTGAGGCGTTCCCGTCTCTGCGATATTCGTGTAGATATTCGCCACGACAGACGGATTCTCTCTATTGCTCATCTTCGAGCGCTGCGCCGCAATCGCCCGGAGACTCTCAGCGCCAACGACCAGCCGATCGGCGTCACTCTCCTCATTGCAGCTGTCCGAGAGGATGTTGGGATTGTGGTGTCGTTGCTCCTTCACGCACTCCACGCGCGCCCGATCGACGTGAATGTTAATGTTGTTCACCTTGCTGCCTGAGCTGAACATGGACATCTCCGTGGGCGGCTTTGTCGTCGGTGGCTTCGGGAAGGTGATCATCGAAGTGCCCACTTCGCTGCTCCCGCCATCGCCACCAAAATCCCTCCTCTGGATCTCAATGTTGTTCTGCTTGGCCAGCCTCTTCTGCTTCCTGAAGAACTTCCTCGCCACATTGCTCTGGTTTGGATTGTAGAACACATCCGCCGTGTGAATGGCTTCATTGATGATCACCGGATTGTGCACAAACTGCTGCCGATGCAGCAGCACCAGATTCATGTTGGCCGTCATCTTCGCACCATTCGGACTCTCATTGCGTCTCGTGAGCGTGTGCGAATTGAGATCAGCAGCCGCCTTCATCATCATGTTTGTGCTGTTGGGGCGACTTTTGGAACTCTGACTGTTCGACCTGGAGATCGAGTGATTCACCACGGAATTCCCAGCCACTTGACGGAATGTCACCACGCCACCGTTGAGCTCCTTCGGATCTCCGGGGAATTGCTGCGTGAAGCGATTCCTGGCCCGTGAGCAACGCATCATATTCCACTGCTTTCTGATGTCACTGCGCGCCACGCCGTAGAAGAAGACAATAAAACCGCCCAGAATCGTCGCCACCACGGCGAAAATGACACTGAACACCTCTTCCTCGTACAGGATCCGCTCGGCAAAGGGTGTGGAAACAGTCAGGCCCCCAAAGAGCCACGTCACAAGGTACAGAATCAGCGTGATGACGAAAGCATTCAATTGCGTGTTGTGCGAATGCTCCTGATCATCTTGAGTGCTCGTGGTCGGCGTACTGATGGAGATGCTCTGGTAGTGATTTCCCGTAGTTGTGGTCGGCTCCAGCAAATCTAGATCCACATTCTCCGTTCCCTGCGTGCCCTCAGACATGTGCCCATTTATGTCACGATCTCTCAGGTTGCACTTGATGCAGATGAACAGCAGACAGAGGAAGCACACGACAATTGTGGCCGGCACGAAGACTGCACTAAGCGCTGGGCCGGATTTCATGAAGCAATACGAGTAGGAAGCATACTCTCGGATATTCACAGCTCCTCCAATGCCACAGATGATCACCGCAATACCATATCCCACTAGGTAAATGCCCAAGATGGGTTTCCGCCCCACAATATCCTCCTTTGGCAGATCATCTCCCTGCAGCACACCAGATCGCTTCTCCAGGCGTTTCATGCGCTTCAGGAAATTACTCACAGACACGCACATCCAGAAGAGAACAGCCAGACTGAGATATTGCGTCAGCATACCGAACACCTGGCAAATCTTGCTGTTGTCCGTCTGATAAATGCCCACATTGAACACCACAATGAGCAGCGAGAGTGTGAACCAGGTGTTGACCAACGCGTGCTTAGCCTTCCTCGCCATCTGAATGGTCTTCCCCAGCACCGAATACGTGCTGATGTTGATCCACAGACAGACAAACAGGATCACACTGCCCACATACACGGCAATCGGTGAGAATCTGAATCTCGCTCCTGAATTCTCATCCGGCGAGTCATTGAGATACTTCGTGTGCTGTATCAAGCCATAGTATCCCAGCTTCGTGCAGGCAAACACCAGCATTCCCTGCAGCATGTGCGAAAACAGGCATCCCTGCGACGACCAATCGCCCAGACCACCGTTCAGCTCGGGATCCCACCACACGGGCTTCGGCGCGCTGAGTTCGTGGTGAAACGGTTGCGCGCGCAGAATGATGAAGATCGGCTCCGTGAGATTCTCTCTCATGCGATTGCCCGTGCTCGTTACTTTGGCACCAATCACGCACGACGTGATCTTGTAGTTTCCATGGGAGCGATTCTGTGGGAAGAGATTGCTGTTCTGGAAGACAGACACCAGCAGTTTCTGCGTCGACGTACTGCTCGCGGCCGAGAGATGCGCGAACAGCGACGCCGGAAACTGAATGGAAGCGTCAAAGTGCTTATCGTAGAATCCAATACTCTGCGCCTGATTCCCAATGTTGCACTGTAGCGTTCGGCGCTCCTTCTCGCCACCGGCAACGGCAGACTTGAACCACACGCAAGTTTTCCCTGAGAAACTCTGCGGCCGTATCTTAAACTCCTCCATGGCGAGATTCTCCTTCTTCGCCAGCATCGACGGAGTGTTTTCCGCCGCCGCTTCGGCAGCCCTCACCAACTTATTGCACGCGCCATCGAGTTGCTGACCCTTCTGCAGAAGCGAGGCCGGGATGTGCATGCACTGGGACACAATGTCCAGCACCATCGGACCCAAATCCGCCTCTCTCGTCAAGTAGTCAATATAATTGTCCACGGTCTTCGCGATGAAGCTCACATCGATGGGATCCTTAAACTTCAGCTGAACTGTGCTGTTTCCCGGCAAAGCCGTGTAGTTTCTCAGTCGCTCAGCACTCTCCAGCACTCGCACGAACGCCAAATCCACCTTCGCGAACTGATCCAGGATCCTCGTGGTGTCCTTGATGAAGGGACACTGAGACGTGTTGAGATTCACCCACTCGCCGGCCTCATTGCACCTGCCGGCGGCATAAACATGCGGCGGTCCGTCGCCAGCACACGGCACGACGACGCTCGTGCCTCTGATCGTCCTTGGCCAGGAGTAGTGACCCTTGTTGTCGTGCATCTCATTCGCCGGACAGTATTCCGTTTCATTGGAGATCACGTACACAGCGATGCTGCGGGAGAAATTTGCCTGTTCAGATCTCAGACGACAGTTCCACATTCCCGAGTGATTCCTGCTGACACTGGGGATCTTCAGGATGGAGTTCAGCAGTCCTCTGTCCGCTATTTGATTCTCCGTGATCTGAATGGTCGTGGCAAATTGCTGTATTGGCTCCAGGAAAGTGATGTTCTCAGTGGAGTTTGGCGCCAGAATCACTTCTGACCATCCCCAGAACACGTGAGCGCCCGGCGGTAAATCCTCAGAGTCCATTTTCGCCCCAACAGCCACTCTCGGCGCTCGACATCTGATGGCCAGAGCGTCTCCCTCGAAGAGCACCTGATCGTGCTCCGGCATCAACTCCAAGTGCGTCTGCAGCTGGGATTCACAGTGAAGATCCGTGCCGATCTTCAGCTTCTTGATGGGCGTCCCCTTGAATGTGCCCGTGCTCTCGCACTTTGGCTGCTTCTGCAGCTTCACGGAGTTGTTGGCCGACCAGGGATTCAGCCACAGCAGATTGCAGTCGCACACGAGCGGATTCATCGATATATCCAGCATGCGCAGCGACGGCATCCTGTCGAAGGAGCCCTGATAAATGTGCGCTATGAGGTTCTGCGACAGCTTCAAGTCTTCCAATTTTGGCATCTCTCCAAATACTGTTTCGTCTATCAGTCTCATCGAGTTGTGCGTGAGGTCGAGGCGACGCAGCTGCGTCATGTTGACGAAGTATGACGCCTCCAGGCTTGATATGTGATTATTGCTCAAATCCCTGCAAATCAGAAAGCAATTAGCGACCGCACGGGGAGTGGGACACACTGTGCCCGGAAATAGTCGAGTGATACGCACAAATGAGTGATTTCAGCCTGATTGATATCGCCCAGATTGATCTCTTTGAAGGTACTGATTTTGCCTCCCGGACTCCCGACGCACTTCACGCGCAGCCCGTCGAGGTCGCTGTCCGGGAGCTTCTTGTTGCTGCAGGTGCACTTCTCCGGACAGCCGGCCGTGTCCGTGGGCCGCAGCAGCACGCCCACCAGGTAGATGAGTATGTAGAGTTTTGTTATCTTCCTCAGGCGCTCCATTTATCAGTGGGGAAAGTGCAGCACGCAAAATGTAAACATTGGCTCTATCGCCCACGCCCACGACTCATTTTCACTCCCTCACGGCGCCAACAATGCGGAAAACACAATCGGCACGCCAATTGCCACTTCACCAACTGATAACACTTCACTAGAGAGTCAACAATATTGGGGAATTTGGGGAAAATCAAATAAAATTATATGGCGAATTGCGCGATTAATTTACGACCGACTTTGACAACAGCACTGGAAGTGAGGTTATGAATGCGCAATCGGGAAAGTTTTGGATTGCTTTTACGACATGAATTTTATACATGCTCTCGACAAAATCAGTGTAAATAATGAATTGAAAAACAATTTTTGCTATTTTAAAAGTGTTTCCAAAATGTATGAGATTCAGAAATTATGGAAGAATTAAAATGAACTTTATTTTTACAATTTTGCCTTTTCAATTTCAACACGTTCTATGTATGAATTATGTTATTGGAATTTGCTGAAATTCCAGTTAAAATTCAAATATGAAAATGACAGCTGCGCTCGCAGCGCCAATAAAAGTGTAGTGGAGAAAAAAGTGTAGGAGAACAGCGTCGGGGTGAGTTTTTTGAGAGGATTAAAACAGAGAATACGATAAAATTCACGGAGTTGTTTTATTCCCAACAAAGTGGCGCCCAAACGTGGGACAAAATGGACAATAATACTGAGTTAACCGGGCGAGGAAAAGTGTTAAGTGCAGAGTTGTCTTCTACACTCGCTCAGATGGCGGAACTCAACCGCAAAGCTGAGGAGCTTAAGAGGCAGCTAGCCAAGGAATATGAAGACGGGGAGTGCTCCACAGATGAGGAGCCTGATATAGGATCTATTCCGACCCCTCGAGGGAAGGCGCAGAGTGACAGAGACTCAGAGTTCCGGGAGTTGAGTCTCACCATGGCCCAGCAAAGCCAAAGCATCGCAAAGTTAACTGCGCGTCAGTCTGGGCTGAAGGAATTGCCACGGTTCTCGGGAGAAGTCGAGGAGTGGCCGATATTTCTCAGCCAATATGAGCAATCCACGAATTCCGGTGGCTATTCGTCGGCAGAGAACGTCTCCCGCTTGGAGAAATGCCTGTCAGGAGAGGCACGCAATGCGGTTAAGACACTTCTATCCATCCCTACGAGTGCTGAGCTCATCATCAACACTCTACGCCAAAGGTATGGCAATCCACGCCAAATGTTGCAGCGCCTAACTGCACAAGCAATAGCCGCAGAGAAGCCGAAGGATGACAATCCGCACTCCATCATCAATTTCGCGACGTTAACGCGAAACATTACTTTTGCGCTCAAGAATCTGGACGAGGGGAGGTTCCTTTTTGGCTCGACTATCTTAGACGAACTGGAGAAAAAACTTTCGCCGCTGATGAAGATGATGTGGGCGGAAGTTATCCACGCGAAGCCAAACTATACACTGGAAGACCTTGCGGACTGGCTGGGAAAACGTGCTGAGTTTGCAATACATATTGCTCCATACTGCGAGACTTCACAGCGTGTGGAGAAGAAGGAAGAGCGGCACAAGCGACCGATGAAATCGACAAATACCAAGCCGGTATTCTTGGCTGATGGCAAAACAGTCCGATGTCCTAACTGTGAAGGAGAGCATTTCATCCCCGCCTGTCCCGCCTTCCAAGAGATGTCCCCGGATGAACGCTTCGATAAGATAAAGGAGTTGGAGCTCTGTATAAGCTGCTTTCGACCAAATCATAGAGCGTTCAGATGTTTCCGACGCCGCGAATGTGGACGAGATGGCTGCAAAGATATTCATCATCGCCTTCTACATGGTCACAGCCGCCGCACCAAGAACACAGCCACAGCCATGAATTCCGTACCGCAAGAAGGTAAAGAGGAACCAAAGAGTAAGTGAAGAATATAATTTTGGATTGAATCCTGTAATTCAAAAAGCAAAGAGGAAATAAAATTAAAGGGTCCTGTGGGATGAATTAAAATACTGGTATTTGAGAAAGTGGGAGTTAGAGAAATAAAGGAAATGAACAAGATAAGCAGGTTTAAACAAGTTGTTGTATCACTTCTACTAAGAAGGGAATGATGATAAATTGTGAGGGGAAATGAAAAAATTTGCCCGCCGAGAAATCGGAGAGTGGCCTGGAGATCTTGCCCGCCGAGAAATCGGAGAGAGGCTCAGAAATTTGCCCGCCGAGAAATCGGAGAGTGGCCTGGAGATCTTGCCCGCCGAGAAATCGGAGAGTGGCTCAGAATTTTGCCCGCCGAGAAATCGGAGAGTGGCCTGGAGATCTTGCCCGCCGAGAAATCGGAGAGTGGCTCAGAATTTTGCCCGCCGAGAAATCGGAGAGTGGCTCGAAGTGTTTGTTTGCAGAAGGTTGAAAATAATCAAATTGAATTAGAGAGTTGTGGCCTATAACTATGAATAATGGATAAACTCAACTTTAGAGGGAAATTAAATGACAATGGTTGAGTCGGGATTTGTAAGTCAACTGAACTCAAATAAAATAAAATTAATGTATAATTTCAGGTGAAAAAAAGATGAGGGATGTGATTTCTGCATCGCTGAAAAGTTCCACAGCGAGCATGGAAACAAATGAAACGCTGATGGATCGAGCCGCGGTTGTAGAACGGGGCAATCAGTATCTCGATCTCGAAAACACGACATATATGCATCGCGTCTACGCAGCCGCAAACATCCATAGAAATGGAATCGTCATGTTACGTGTGGCACCGGTTATGTTGAGAAACCCGCGGACCGGAAACACACTGAGTACATTTGCACTGTTAGATTCGGGCGCTACAGTCACGCTGATTGATAAAGGTATAGCGGAACACTTGACTTTGCGTGGAAAACCAACCTCCATGCGGCTGCAGTGGTTAGATGGCGTTGCGCGAAGCCAAGATACGGTTACTTGCGTAAATTTGCAAGTTAAGGGACAATATGAAAAAGCGAAGTGGTTTAACCTCGACCATAGTTATGTGATCGAGAATCTTAAGCTCCCAGAGACGAATGTAGATCGAGAAAAGCTAACACGGAATTATCCCTATTTAAGCAACGTGAAGTTTGAATCCATAAGACACGAGAGGCCAACAATATTGATCGGAGAGGACAATGCTAAATTAATTGCCACTCAGCAAATGGTACATGATGCTAATTACAAACCGGTGGCGTCATTAACAGCGTTGGGGTGGGTTATAAGTGGAATGATCGAAAGCCGGCAAAGACAGAACGCGAGCAAACAGATGGTATGTCACACATCGGATAATGCAGAACTTATTGAGCTACTGAAACATAGTTTCAGCCTAGAGAGTGTGGGGATAAGGCCTACAGCGGAACCTCGGTTGACCAAAGACGAACAGCTCGCATATGAAATTCTCAATAACACGACGAAACGCATGGGAAATAGATTTGAGGCGGGACTTCTATGGCGAGTACCTCGCACCTCAATGCCTGCGTCAAGAGCAGCTGCCTGGCGACGGCTTCAACAGACTGAGGCAAAAATGGATAGGGACCCCGAGTTTGGACGACTATATGTAGAAAAAATGCAACATTACCTCAATGAAGGCTACATGATACCTCTTGAGGAAAGTGACTCGGCAGTCCCGGCTGAAGAAACATGGTATCTACCACATTTCGGAGTGATGAATCCCAACAAACCGGGGAAACTTAGAATTGTTCTGGACGCAGCAGCTGAGGTTAACGGAGTGTCCCTAAATACGCGACTTGTCAGTGGACCAGACCTCACGACATATCTACCTAAGCTTCTGATGCAATTTCGTGTAGGTCTGCATGGATTTGTTGGCGACATCAAGGAGATGTTCCACCAAGTACGTATTCGAGGGGAAGATCAAAACTATCAGAGAATTCTTTGGCGAGCTATGGATCGAGACAGAATACCACAGGAATACAAGATGACAGTGATGATATTTGGAGCAACTTGCAGCCCGACAATTGCGGCGTATGTAAAAAATAGAAACGCCACAGATTACCGAGATGAATATCCTGCAGCTGTTCAAGAAATTGTTGATAAACACTACGTTGATGATTATTTGGGCAGCAGCGACAGTGTGGATGAAGCAGTGCAACTTATCCATGAGGTTGTGGATATACACAAAAAAGGAGGATTCGAAATAAGAAACTTCGTCAGTTCTTCTCAGGAGGTTCTAAAGAAAATACCATCAGAGATCCGGTTGCAAAAATCGATGGTTGACCTCGACTTAGAACCTAAATTTGAAAAGGTTCTTGGTGTATGGTGGGAGCCATTAACTGACGTCTTTTCCTTTAGAGGTCAAACGGACATTCCTCTGGACACAACACCGACAAAACGTCAAGCACTGTGTACATTAATGAAAGTATACGACCCAATGGGATTCGTGGCGCAATTCATTATCAGGGGCAGAATCATTCTACAAAAAATCTGGCGAACGGGGATTGAATGGGATGATCAGATGCCTTTTGAGATTTATCAAACGTGGCGAGGATGGGTGGAGCAGTTACAGTGCCTAGAAGAGGTGGAGATTCCGCGCTGCTACGCACCAATACACATGAAAAGGGGACGAGTTGAGTTACACACATTCACTGATGCCAGTGAGGATGCGTACGCGACAGTGATTTACCTTCGCTTCATAGTCGACGATCAGATTCATGTGTCACTGGTGAAATCAAAGGCGAAAGTATCTCCGCTAAAAGCGGTGTCGAGTCCCCGACTGGAACTGCAAGGAGCAGTTATAGGTTCCAGATTGGCCAGTTTTGTCGCAGCAAATATCGGGATAGCAATCCATAGGAGAATATTCTGGACGGATTCAACAGTGGCTCTTCACTGGATCAAGTCAGACTCACGCAACTTCAAGCCCTTCGTCGCCAATCGAGTGGGAGAAATACAAGAAGTGTCTGATCCTGCTGAGTGGCGCTGGGTACCCACAGATCTGAACGTTGCTGACTTAGCAACAAGAGACAAAGGATCAACGGACTTCGCCCCGACATCTGTGTGGTACCGTGGACCAGAGTTTCTCCATCAATCAGAGAACACGTGGCCAAAGCAGCGAGAGGAAGAAACGCCTTTAGTGGCGATAGCGGAAATAGCAGAAGATACGCAATTCAAATCACCGATAAACAGCAAGAATTATGTTAAATGGCATCACATGCTCAAGGTCGCAGCATTCGTCTTCCGTTTTCAACGGGCTTGCAAGGAACGTTGGAGAACGAAATGTAACAAAGAGCACCGGAAGATTGGAACTTTAGACGCAGCCGACTGGAAAGGAGGTGAAGAATACCTGATAAAAATCGCTCAACGAGAAAGTTTCCAAATCGGCGGGGTGATGGAGGAAGCTACGGATACGACAAAATTACGTCCGTGTATTGTTGACAAGAGCAGTGTATTATACAAATTCAATCCTGCGATCGACCAGAAAGGATTCATCAGAGCGGATGGACGACTACAAAGGATGCCCCGTGTGTCACCAGAATTCAGGAACCCCGTCATCTTACACGCGGGCAATCGCATTGTACAGTTAATGTTAAATTCTTATCACGAGCGCTTGGGCCACTGGGGGGCAGACCATACTTTAGCTGAATTAAGGACCAGATTTGAGATAATCAAGGGAAGAGTCACCCTTAAAAAGTTGCAACGTGGATGCAAAATATGTCAGATTGCGAGGGCAAAACCAAGAATCCCCATTATGGGACAATTGCCACCAGAACGACTTGAATCGCATGTAATCCCGTTCACCTACACGGGATGCGATATGTTTGGACCGATAATGGCCAAGGCTGGAAGAAGTGAGGTAAAGCGCTATGGGATGATATTCACCTGCCTAGTCACTCGGGCAGTCCATCTTGAGTTGTGTACTTCTATGAGCACGGACTCTTTCCTAATGGCGCTTCGAAGGTTCTTCGCACATCATACAGTACCCAAGAAGATAATGTCCGACTGCGGAACCAACTTCCGTGGAGCCAAGAAGGAGTTGGCGGAGGAGAGGTCAAAGCTTAATTTTGAGGACGTCACCCAAAGAATGGCTCAACTGAATGTAGAGTGGGTTTTTAACCCACCATACGCACCCCATATGGGTGGATGTTGGGAACGGCTAATTGCATCTGTGAAACACGCGCTGAAGATGTCTACAGAGTTATCAGCACACCCTCCGAGTGATGAAGTACTTGCAACCTTACTCGCAGAAGCTGCTAATATGGTGAATAGCAGACCTTTGTTGGAGTTATCAGATTCCGGGGAGTCTTTAACACCGAATCATTTCCTGCGTCACCATAAGTCGTCTCTCACATCCGGCGGAACCTTCGACGACAAAGATTTGGTGCTCCGCAAAGAGTGGCGGAAATCCCAGAGACTCGCCGATCATTTCTGGCAGATTTGGACAAAACATTACGCGCCGACACTGTCAAACCGACCAAAATGGAGAGAGTCTGAAGAAACAGTGAAAGTCAACGATCGTGTCGTAGTTATGGATCCGAATCGCCCCAGGAACTACTGGCCGACCGCAAGGGTGATCAAGATAAGGCCGGGCTACGACAAGAAGGTGCGTGTAGTGGTCATAAGGATGGAAGAGGATCAGAAGGAGTATACACGTCCGGTGACGAGATTAGGAGTACTGCAACCGCCAATGCTGACCCAAGATTGAGACGTGAGCTTGGAATTGGGGCTCTAAAGGCTCCCCAATTCGAGGTGGAGTGTTATTGGAATTTGCTGAAATTCCAGTTAAAATTCAAATATGAAAATGACAGCTGCGCTCGCAGCGCCAATAAAAGTGTAGTGGAGAAAAAAGTGTAGGAGAACAGCGTCGGGGTGAGTTTTTTGAGAGGATTAAAACAGAGAATACGATAAAATTCACGGAGTTGTTTTATTCCCAACAAATTATAATGTCTTCCTTGACGCTTTCTGAGTTTTGTTTATCAGAGAGAGCTCGGTTCGGAAATACTGACGGATTACCTGCAAGAAAGAAAGCTGAAGAGAATCTCCTCGAGACCTTGCATTCTGAGCCTCACCTTAAGCATGGCCAGTCGCCTCATGAGGCGCTCGTTCTTGTGTGGAAGTTTGTTGAGAGCGCCCAGAGCAGCTTTGTACTTGCCGTGGAAGGGAATTGTGGGATTCCTGTACGAAATGATCCGCTCGAACTTCACCTCAGTCTCCATCGGTTTCAGCAGACTCTTTCTTCTGCTCGAGCCGGAAGAACTGGTCGCGTTGAAAGAAGACATCGGACTTTCGGTGCATGAAAGTGTCTGTGAGGTCTGTGATGTCTGAGATTGCATCTCTTCGGACACACTGTCGGGCTGAGAAGACAATTCTTCAGACTGAATGTCATCCCACAGGGAATTCTTAGACGGTTCAGGAAATTCCTCCTTGATATCCAAGCTATCCAAGCGTTCCTCCGTTGAAACTGCACAAGAATTGGCAGCAAACATTGTCTGCCTGCGTTTGGTGATTCTCGACGGTCGCGGGCTGGTAAAAGCGTCATTCACTAAGGCAACACTCTTCCGGCGCTCCCGAATCTTCCCGACCTGCTTCTTCATCTCCCTGAGCCTCTTCTCCTCCTCCTTGTTGTTCACGTACGCGCCGGCCTCCTCGTCGTTCATGTAGATGCTCTTCCGTCTCTGTCGCAGTTTCACCGATTTGCAGATGCTGCTCACATAAGAGCCGTCCTCGTTGAAGCTGGACAGCGTCTTGCGGCGTCTCTTGATTAGGGCAGGTGTCAGAGTGCGCTCCAAAATAGGATCATCAGGTAGGATATGCTCTGGCTCATCCAGCTCTTCTTTCTCTTTACTGTCGGAGTCTCGAGTGTTGCCATCCAAAGGTAAGAAATTTCCTTCTTCTTGTTCTCGCCCTTTTGCCATCAAATTAGACATATTCTTCAGTCGATATGGAAAATTTGAGTCTTAGTCTCTCAGTAAATACCTTAATTGCACTTAACACTTTGGCCACTTCTAGAGAAATGAGGAGAAAATATACACCTCCGACACCTCCAATCGAGTCTTCCAATGCTTCCAACGTTCCAACCTTCCAAGCGCATCGGTTTTTTCGGGAACGTTCGTTCCAGAACTGAAATAAAACTAGATGGCGCTAGAAGCGAAAACTTTGGATCCCAATTCGCCCATCAAATTCCAGCATAAATCTTTCTTTGGCAACACAAGGTAACTGATGGAGTCATGCAAATTGCAATTTACCTGTGTTTTTATATGTTGAAAAGGCTCCTGATTTTCCCATCAATCGCTACGCCACTGCTGAGATTCGAATTAACTGAAGGGGCTGAGCGCCCTCTTTCGAGGCAATTGAGGAACGTCAACCAACACACGTGGCTTTGTTTTGATTTTGAGTTCTCGATTCTTTACGAAAAATTCTTGTTTTTAGTTATTTCGCAAACTAAAAGTCAGTAAAATGGAGGAAGAGGATCAAGAGAGCAAGATTAACTTTGTGTCTTGCGTGTGCTTTGTGCGTCAGGGAGTGGCGAAGGAAGAACCGGTCAAGGTAAGTGAGGAACTCCGATTCCCTCTTCAGTGTGGATAAAAAATCATGATTTTTTTTTTCTTTTCAGGCCACTTTGACGCAGGAGGAACTCGCCGACATCATAAATGAGATGAAGGAGAGTAAGAACAGCGAGGGAGATGATGATGATGAGGCTGGAGAGCAGATGGACGTGGAAACTCCAGCCGGTGCTGATGAGTATAATTTTGACGACTACGACGAGGAGGGAGAAAGCACGGGCTTGGGAATAGACGGAGTCGTGGTGGCTGATCCTGGGGAGAACTTGGAGGATGATGAAAATGACTCAGAAGCTGAGGACGATAAGATAAAATGCGGAGACAACCTCATTCTCGTGGGTCACGTTGATGATGTTTGCGTGAACATGGAAGTGTACATTTGGAACAAGGCAGAGGACAGTCTCTATGTCCACCACGACTTCCTTCTGCCCAGTTTTCCACTCTGTCTCGAGTGGCTCAATCACGATCCCTCGTCCAGCGAGTCTGGGAATCTGTGCGCGATCGGAACTATGGAACCAATAATCACGGTGTGGGATCTGGACATCAGTGACTCGCTAGAGCCGATTTACAAGCTTGGCAGCAAAGGGAATCGTAGGAAGAGAGAGCCCAAATTCGGGCACAGTGATGCAGTTCTGGATCTAGCGTGGAATCAGGCATTTCCTCACGTCTTGGCGAGTGGTTCTGTGGACAGGACGTGCATCTTGTGGGATCTGGACACGGGGAAGCCAAACACCACAATTGAGGTGTTCGAGGAGAAGGTCCAGGCTGTGAAATTTCATCCCACTGAGCCACACTTCGTCCTCACGGGATGCTGTGATGGATTCGTGAGGTTGTTCGACTGCAGGGATCCAGCCAAGTTGACAGATTCATTCAAGAGCTGGAAGCTCACCGGAGAGATTGAGAAAGCCGTGTGGAACCTTCAAGATCCCACATACTTTGCGGCATCAACCAACAAGGGAGAGATTGCGTATTTTGATATGAGACAGGCAAATCCTCTGTGGCAGACATCTGCTCATTCGGAGGAAGTTTCCGGTCTAATTTTCTCCCCAGCGATTCCCGGAATGATGCTAAGCACATCGTCGGACGGTAGTTTAAAAATCTGGGACTACAATCTGGCTGGGGCGAGATTAATTCATGAAGATGACATGAACATCGGACGGATTCACTCTATCAGCTATTCTCCGGAGGATCCCAACATTGTCGCCATTGGAGGGGACAATAAGAAGCGACAATTCAGAGTTGTGGACGTCCTGGAATATGATCACGGTGAGTTGAATTTCTTTTTTTTTTTTTGAAAACTCACTAAAGTCATTATTTCTTTCCAGTGAGGCAGACATTTGAGCATCGCAATTGAATAAATTGCCTCAATAAAGATATGCTTTATCTTCTTCCCTATATCTAGTTTTTTTTTAATATTAACTTATCAGACCCACTGACAAAAAAGCAATTTCCGCGCAATCACTGTGTGTGGATGTGGTCATTTGATTGAGTCAGTGGAGTTTCATTCAAACTGATTCTACGCCTCACTCTTGCTGTGGAACTGTACAACATTGTGCTGGTGAAAGAAGGCCTTTCCGTACTCAAAGGATGATAGCATAATAGCACAGGCAGGAGCAACTTTGACGAGTCTTGGAATTAGACCAGCAAAAAGGCCACGGATTCCATGCAGTTTGTAGATCTTCTCCAGCGCAGGCAGAACATTCTCCCTTTTTGGTATTTTCTTAGGCGTATCTGCAATGGCAATTATATTCCTAGAATGGTCACAAGTCTAATGTTTTATCGCACTCACCAGTGTAAATTAAATTTTCACCAAGTTCTGCAAATAAATCATACACAATTAATCTCTTGACGAGTACATGTCACTTGAAACAGCTTATTATCTCACCTATTTGCTTGTGCGTCTTCACAACATCGAAGGGGGTCGTCACGATAGCCGCTATCTGCAATAATTAAAGCATTCTGTGTGAGCAGAAGCTAAGCATAAAGGCTTTTAACTACTCACACTCCCCGAAAGAGCTCCTCCGATGAAGCTGAACGTCACACTTGGACTGCCTGTGATGCCGTAAATCGCCTTCAGAGTCTCGTAAGATGTCCAGTAGAGTCCTGAGAATGGCACGTCGCGCATCAGAGTCGACCTCAAGCCTGTCCACAGTCCCCAGATGCCCTGAGTATTGACCATGCTCTTCAGCGCCTGGCCAACTTCCAAATAGCTCACTCTCTGGGACTGCATCTTCGTCCTCACGAGCTCCAGAGGGCTCACAATTGAAGCGGCGATCACTCGGGCCAAGCCTCCTGCGACCAAGGGAATCAACCAGGGTGTTGATGTGGAGCCTGGACGGAAATCCATGTACTTGTCCTTCGCCCTGACTCGCAATTGTTCATACGCTACGAAGTAGATCACTGTTGTCGGCACGGCCAGGACAAGAGTGGGACTCAGTCCTGACCACAGCGCGCGGACACCCTCAGTCCTGCTGATTTTCACGAAGGCGTCAATGGTGCCGTTGAGATGGGGCTTCTGGCTGATGCTTCCATTTGGTCCGCAGGGACAGAGATGATCCATAAGGCCGTTGCAGTAGAGATAGCATTTGTTGGACAGGAGGAGCTTCTGCTGGGTCTGGAGACGAGTCTTCACGACATCCAGAGGAGTCACTAGAAGAGTCACGCCGGAAATGATTGGGAATCCTGAGATACCGGACATGTAAACAAGGAAACTCACTGGAGAGTGAGGTTAGGAGTGCTCCTGTGCATGCTGACACGATTTGCTGACTGGGATGTATGCGAAACCGAGGATCATCAATATCGTACTTAGCCACGGATCTTCTTCCTTCCATTCTTCTGCCTTATTTCACTAAAACACACCGAATTTCATCACAGCACAATTCCGCGACTCTTCGAAACACTCTCAGCCCTATCAGCACTCTCAGAGAGATTTGACACACTCTCTCAAGGTCACCACTCTTTATAATTTCCCGCCAAAGTCTCATCACACAACCTCATTTCCACTCAGGGCTTCAATTTTGTCACGAAGTCTCGAAAAAGGCTCAGGGAGTGATTCAAGAGAGACATCTTCGTCACCTGGAATTAATCAAAGCATGTTATCTATCCTTGGTCACAGAGACAGTAAGCAAAAAACTCACTGAGACGTTCTTCGCCAGGCAGCGTTGAATTTCTTGGCAAAGAGCAGGAAGTGTGGGCACAGTCTCAATGTCAAACGACTCCACTTTGTCAGGATTGAATGGGATGGCGACTTTCATTGTCTCCGGATGCACACAGAAGGGCGTTTTGACCAAGTGACTCAGTCCTTTCGTCACATTTAAATCCAGTCTCGGATAGAGAAGATACAGCTTAATGCATCCCACGAGATCCATCTGTTCGTTCCGTGGCTGCTCCAAAGAGTCCAAAACAGCACAAAAGGCACTCCAGATGACGACTGATCCGCAATCCATCACATTTCCCAAAACTTCTCTTAGGTTTCCTCTATTCTGCTCGCCCGGAACTTCAGCCACGAGAAACTTTTCCACGTTCTTCCACGAACTGAAGAGATTCTGATCCTCAAGGCAGATCTCCTCAAACACTTCTTCGACGATCTTCAGAGTTCTCTGAATTAATGGGTGGTTCCACTTGACGAGGAGGTCATCATTGCGTTTAAAGAGCCTGAAAGGCAGGTACAAGTAATCCAAGATCGATTCCCGGACTTCTTTAGTTAGAGAGCGAGCGTTTTTGTCGCACACCCAACAGTGGATTCCTCTTCTTCCGCTAAATACCCAGAGCATGTCTTGAAATCCAAAATCTTCAGTGAGAACCATCTTGAGGATCTTGCAGGCAACGACAATCAGTTTCCAACATTTCCGGCAAATCTGCTTGCCTATGCAACAAGTTCTCACGTCGTCAAAATCCGAAGCGTCTATGTCAAAGATCAGCTCTTTCTCCACAGGACAGTAATTCTTGCTCAGTTTTGCACTTAAAGGCCTGCAAGAAGGAGAGTCAATGAAGTGATTTGGGCAGACAAATAGGACAAGCAAGACCTCTTATTCATCACAGCTCCAATTTCAATTGTAAATGGCAGCTCGTTCAGAAGCATTGTCCGGAAAAATTCTTCTGATTTTATCGACACATTTCTGGTGTAGATCTTGTTCTTCTTCGCATCCCTCTTCAGCAGAGCAAACTCCCTTCTCTTGAATACATTGGGGTCTGCGAAAGCGAATAGAAAATAAGAAAAACTTTCTACGATGTTCGCAATTTCGACTCAAACTCACCTGTGCTGTTGTGACTCAGCCACTTTTGGATGTATCCAGTGGGATAAAGGTATTCGTAATACAGCGAAAGCATGGATAGGTAATTATTATACTCATCCTGTTGCTTTTTGCTCGATATTACATCCTTTTTCATGATGTATCACAGATTTTTCTCAGAGTAAACAACTTTATAAGCGCCAAAACATGGTGTAGTGTCAACTGTCATTCAACGATCAGCAACGTGAAGCATATGCTTTGCGTCAAGGGGCATCGCAGTGCTTCGAATAGTTCAGAGTCTGACTTTTGATCTCTGACTCTCACTTATCATCCTTTTACCAAGTCTATTAAGGTTGATGGTGATGATGGTGATAGTCCATCAAAATATACATCGAAGAATTCTTACCTCGTAATTTCATAGTATTTTGCGAATTTTTTTTCCTTGGTTTTATATGAAATAAAAAAAAAACTCTCGGAGAAATTGAACAAACTTTTGATATTGAATCTGATTTTTTATTACTGAATCTGCAGACGCTGAGAAAATATGGTACAAAGGATTTGGTTGGATATTTTAGTAACTTTTTCTAATACAATTTCCATTCATTTTATAAGAGCGACTGAAAGATAGGGGAAAAGGGGTCACTTGAGCCAGAATGGCAGGGAATGTTTAGCGTCTGGACTGCTGATGATGCCGATGTCCGGAATTGTGATGCTGATTTTGATTCTTGCGCCAGTGCTTGTGTTGGCAACTATCAGCTCGTCGGAGAACCTCAGCATATGATAGATCTAGCTTCTTTAGCTTTTGCAGATCCTGAGAAGCTGTGCTGGGGCGGAACTCCATGGCGCTCGTGTCCAGTTCGCGGCTAGTGTTTGCCGTCGAAGGTGTGGATGGTGACTGTGACACAGCCCGGCTGCCCGACTGCCTGCCAGGCCACTCGAATCCACTGGGACTGAGCTGGGTGAGATCGACGGGACGCATGTCGCGCCTCTTCCGCCCACTGCCCGTGGCGTAGAAGACCTTTGGCGGTGAGGGCAAACCCGCTGGGGAGTCCGATCGGTCTATGGCATGGTTGCGTCGGTTCTTGCGGTGCTTCTTCTTCACATTCACACTCACGGAGAGATACTCGAGCGGTTGGCGCTTGTATGGCGTCAGGACGCGACCGTCCTCCACGATCTGTCCAACTGGCGGCTTGTTCTCCTGGTTGCAGTGCTTCTTCTGCTGTTCAATCTTCCTCCGCTCCGTCTTCGTGATGCACTCAGACATCGCCACGGACTGCTCGGACACCATGGATGACGTCACGCTGATGGCATCGTCCTGGATCTCAGGAAGGTCTTCCGTAGCCGGAGTTACGGGCGGAACTTTCACATCCGATGCCGGATGGGTGTCATCGAGCAGGGGCAGTTTGTCACCTTCATCTCGGTTCTCGGCCGCCTTCTTCAGCACCGCGAAGATCTCCTTGAACAGCTCCCGATACTCGGGTCTGTTGCGGAAGCGCGAACCTATGAGGCTCGCGTCGTCATATATGCTGAACTTGCAGTCTTCGCCATCGGCAATGGTGCAGAGGAAGGATCCTGCCCGCTCTTCAGTCTGCGTGCCCTTGTTGCTGGTCTCATCAGAGTAACCGGAACTCGTGGTCTCCGTTTCAGAAAAGTCCGTGGGAGTGCGCACAGTGGTCTTCCTCCTGGCGCCAGTGCTCTTCCCACTGTCCACCTGAATGGCTCGCCTGCCAGTTGCGCTCTCCTCGTCGGTGTCCTTGGTGTGAATGGAGCTAAAGTCACCGGACATGTGACCATCCTCTGCCAACCCTAGAGCTTGACTGCGTCGCTTCTTCTCCTCCATTAGGGCCTCATAGTGCTCCACGAGCACTCGGTAGGGATTGGCAACGGGAGCCGTTGCCAAATCCAAACTATCTGGCTTGGGAACATCCTGCAAGAACACATTGCAATACCATTAAAGACACACTCTAGTCGATCTTCAGTTGGTGGTGAGGCATTGGGCAGGCACATCAACAAAGGGGATAGAATTAGTCACTCTGGTTAGAATTCATCATGGGCACACAACAAACCCAGGATCGTCGCAGGATTCGCCCGTGCAGATTGCATGCAAATCTTCTCCACGTCAGCACCACTAAGTCACACTCTAGGATGGTTTTAGAGGGGGTTTGGGAACAGGACTGTTGTAAATTGAGTCTAGAAATTGCTGTGCAAGAGCTATTATTGTGTCGTCGCGGTGAGCGAGACATTCAGAGACGAGGCTTAGAACTTAAAGTCTATGTACAAACAAATCTTAAGAGTGGTAAATAAAAAAAAAACAGAAATAACAGACATGCAATAAAACAGAACATTTAACTATCTTTTCATTTATTTTATGTAACATATTTGTTGTCCTCAAACATTTGTACAACGATTTTTTCTCACTTCCTCAAGAGGATATTAAATTCTAAGTTGTTATTCCATATCGTATAAAAAATATCACAATCTTGATCTGTGTCTTATCTCTGTATTTTTCAAAGTGAATAGACTACTAGAAATTAAGTGAATAATCTTTAGGTCAAATCCTTAAAAATAAATATGTAGTAGCAAATTTGGCACTGTCTTTTCAACCATGAGTAAGGCAAGGTAGATCTCTTAACTGTCTCCTCTTACCTCACGCAGGGTTTAATTTGACTTTCATATAGTATCGCTTACACCTCAGAGAAAAGACCATAATTCTTCCTTACATAATCCTATTAATATTAGTGGAAGTATGAAATAAATAGTATTTAATTTGGCACATTAAAAAAACAAATTAATTATGAAATTATATAAATAACTCGTAATATGCTGGTAATTTTGTCAAAAGGTACTCAACTTTTCAAACGTGAATTGTTAGACAATTCCAATAGATTTTCCTCACAATTATCATTCCTCATATCAAAACAATGCTGTCTTTTTTTGTGTTTTACATAAAATCAAAATTGTCGTAATTGGGCAAACTGATCATACGGTAAATGAGGAGTGCTGGCCACTGAACAATCTTTAGGATCCATCGGAAAAAAGCTAAACTCCTAAAATGTAGCCACAACTCAAGCAATAAAGAAACTAAAGACACTGGCAATTCATGCAGATATTTTGTCAGGTGCTCACAAATCGAACAACTCGCCTATAAAAAATAATATCATGAAAGAAAAAAATCATACTGAAATTGTGTTGAATTTTCTAGAAAAACAAGAAAACAAACACAAGTTTAACCATATGTTTCATCGTTTTTGCAACACTAACAGTTCGATAGAAAGACAATCAGGAGGTGTGTGTTTATGGGGTTAATGCATATTACACAATTCACACATATTTATATCGATGCAAAAAACGCCCAACCACAAAAAGACATGCAGATTAGATGGTTAATTTTGATGTCTTGCTAATCATTATGTCTCAATTGCTCAACTATCGCAAATTCTCCTCCCATTCTTATGTGTTAATGTTCATTTCACTACTCATACGGGTTACATTATCAACTTTCCCCCAAATGGTAAGTCTAATCGAGATAAGAAATCCATGGATAGAAAATGAAAAATCACTTACAGAGTGTTTCTGTGAATCCATAACAGAAAGGTATTGACATGAATTTTTTTTCTTCTTTTCAACATTGCGCATTTCGCAAAAAAAACAGATAAAGGTAAAAATAGTGAAAATAGCCATTATGAAACCAAAGATAAACCAATAAGACCGTTGTAGCCCATTTTCACGTGCTCACTTGTGCAGAAGTTATTATTAAATGAGTTTATCGGGGAGAAATGAAAAGTACTCGAACAAGCAATATGTAAAACATGAATTTGAAGCCACGGAAAATTTGCGTGATAAAAGCGTGATTTTCGTCCTAAAAAACAAGACAGAAAGAGAGAAAAGAAAGAGGTGGAGGAGTAATTAAATAAATTGTGTAAAATGCATGTGAGAAATTTTTCGGATGGAGAGGCATTACTGTGTGACGTGGTGAACTGAATTTGTGCGGACTTTTCGTGAAATATCTGAATGAATTGGAAATTTCTTCACGAAATCATTGAATTGATTCAGTCAAAGACAACATAATTTGGCGGACTCTATGGCAATTCGGCATTAGAGACAAGATAAGAGATTTCAGTATAAACATTCATTAGTGCTGACTTTGAAATTCCAATTTGCGTGGATTGATACAAAATGTGGATGAGGTGAATGAAAGACAAAATAATTCATACGGTTCACAAAAAGTGAAACCGCGCTTTTGGAATCACTTATCATGTTGATTGATTGTGCCTTAATTTCTGAGTCACTTTCTAAGGTTTGCCAACACGAATGACTGAATGGTATAATTTTGATGATTTAATACTCGAGAAATATCTCACGAAAAGATCCGCACACAGAGAAGATTATGTGAGTGGTAAAGAACGCAGCACAAACAACACCACAGTTAATCACAACAATATTGTCAACTGTTGCGAAGAAAGCCCATCTCCATGAGGACGGGATGAGAGAATTGGAAGAGAAGCGGGTGGAAATGGGCAAGAAGAGAGACTGAATTGATGGATAGATTACCTTTGTGGGTGGAGGACGATACGCGTGATCACTCTTTTGTGAGCTTATGAGCTCGATCAAGCTCCGACCGTCATCTTCAGTATCAACGCCCATCAATCCATCGTCATCGTCGTGCTGCATACTCTTGTCATCTACCATTCTTAAGCATCGGCTGCACATTTGGCCTTGTCTGCAGAAATGCGATTAGAATTGAGGAAATATTGATATTTTGCGCGTAACTCACCGAACTTCCTCCAGTATGGACAGTTCGTCGTGGATGGACTTCATCTCTTCGTTTGTGTTCATGTTCGCCAATCGTCCCTGCAGACTCTGATTCTCCTGAACTGGAGGCAAAGAAAAAGAATATTGCTATAAAATCACAATGTATCAATATCCCTCTAATTTTGTGATTCAAAATCTCACTGCTCACTTCACTGATTCAAGTGATATTCTGAGAATTGCAGTCACCAGCAGATTAAATCTGATAAGATAATGTGAGTTTTGGCAATGAGGAAATGAGCAGTGACTTCTCGGATTACATTCAAGATAAATTTCAGACGTAGAATTAAATAAAAAGCTGTGTCATATTTACTGATTTGAATGAGTTGTTCCTCCATTTCGGAGTTTCGTTGCTGTTCACAGAAGAGCTCTTTCTTGGTGGAATTCAAGTCTGTCATCAGCTTGAGCAGCTCCTCATTTTCGTGAATGCTGTCTTCTGTGGAATTGGCACTGGGTCTATTTGTTCCATTGCTTGGAAAATCAACAACATCCTGCAGTCTGGCGGGAAGATTGCTCAAGTCGCTGTGTTCATGGTTATTTGAAGAATTCAGGGTGGTGTTGTTTGCAGCATTATTGGAGGCCTGAGGAAAAGGGAAGTCCATCAGGAATACATATATATCATTTGAAGAAAGCAACATTAAATGCACACGACTGCACTTGTACAATTTCCTCGAGTTGATTAGGTAAATAAGAGGCATTTCAGCAATGCAAAGGCGGAAAAAATTGTTTAATTCGCAAGAAATTAAATTATATTTACTTCGAAAGTGAGGAAAGCACAGTGTGGGTGTTTTTCACCCAAAATGCTGAACGAGAAACAATTTGCAAGCATAATTAGGGTAGTTCTTAGCGATGCGGGCTGTTAACTCGCCATTTATTCGACACACTATTCCGAATTTGGCGAATTGTTTGAATTCTTCTCTCAAGTGTCTGAAATACTTCATGATACTTTCATGAGACTACACACATTATAAATTCCCAATCCAGCCTTGACTCAGATAAACTCTCACCACGTGTTGTTAAATAAAATGAATAATAGATTTTTAAAAGCATATTTGAGCGCTGTTTGCATTGTGTTCTTTCTCTGGGAAAAAAAGACAGAGAAACATTCATAGGACTGCACCATTTTCTTCTTATTAACACATAAAAACGGCGCCATTTAGGAGAAAATTAATAAATTTACACATGACAGTTTTTCGTTTTAGAAAATCAGTCGTGGGAAGATTTTTGCACCCACCTCTTCAACTTCAGGCTCACTGTCGTGATTCTCCTGCGGTGACTTCAGCAACTTTATAGAGCCATTTTTCCATCCATTCTCCCTGTTTTCCTGGCGCTCCTTCTTCCGCCTCTCCATGGCAATTATTCGGTTGAGCTCCTCATTTGTCTTAACCAGCTCATCGCATCGAGACTCCAAGTGTTCCACCGTGTGAGACAATCTAGGAACCATTATTTCAGTTAGGAAGCCCGAAAATCCTAATCAAGTGGCGATAACTCACGTCTTAATGTTCTTCTTGTCCGCAGCATTCTCAATCACTAGCCGATGATTTGCTCGCTCCAAGTCCGAAATGCTGATTTCAATGTTCTCATACATCCGGAGACGCGAGTCGTTCACCTCACGAAGAGCTGCCGTTTGCTTGGTCAAGTACTGCGAAGAAACGAAATTTTGGAAGGTGAGAAAGAATTCCACCTCCTATAAATTCATCTCATGACTGAAATTTTGTGCCATCTTCTTGACAAATTTGTGAAAACCCAGCGAAATTCACATTGTGATTGTGCAAGAAATTTTTCAGTGAGAAACGGTCAAGAGGCGTGAAGAATTTTCGGTGTAGCCTGTTTTTGTTAATTAATCCATCAGACAATAAAACATAAATAATCACAGAAATGGATCATTGTATTCAAGCTCTTTTCGACTGACGCCAGATTTCATAACAATGCAGAATGCTCCGCGAGCTCTCAATATCGTGCTCTTTCATCGTAGATTTCAATCAATCTTATTATGCCAATTGTTCTCGACAATAACGCGAAAAGATGTGGATATTTTGTGTGAGTTTGTTGCCACTTGTCTATAGCAAGAATGCAGACAATTCGTTGGATGTGACTCGAAATGGTGAAAATCGATTATTTTTAGCTCCAAAACACACTTTAACGGCTCACATCAGTCCAATGGTCATTGATCTTTTTCTATGTACAAACGTGACATGAATTTCTTACCTCAATCTCCTGCGCTTGGTCACTTATAATTGCCTGATGCTGCCGCAAGTCACTCTCCAATTCCTTATTTCTCTCCAGCAGTGTCTTTCCCAATTCGGCGGCCAGTTGAAGATCTGCAGATTAGAGATTGTCTCTATTAATTGCTGAATGAATACTTCAACTTGTAAGATATCTCAAGGGTTATGCCGCTTTTTGCAAGGCATGAGAGAGTGAAACATTCCTATTAAAGTATGGTGAATGTCGACTCAACAAGTCATGATTGTTCACCCACGTAAATGGACAAGAGATTTTTTTGCAGGGAAAAATGAAAGGTGAAACATGTTCAATTAAAATCCACCTAATGGATGGGTGCCACTTCTGTCTAAGGGTTTTCCGGCTATTCAACAGCCCCCAAGACGTAATCTCATGACGATATTTGAGAAATTGTGCGCAATTTCGAATTTCCTCAAGTGCACTTGCCGGGCAATAAAGCACCATCAATTGCAAATTAAAACCGCGAAACTCTTTAAAATACCGTTACATTATAACAATGAGTTCCAATTGATTACAATAAACACATTCATTTAGCTATATAGCCGCCAATTAACTAAATTGATTAACGATTTCATTTCTTTTATAACCCACGTTGTGCTTCCTAGCCGGACACCCTCTGAGTTTATGGTTTTTTACTCCTACCAATTGGGTAATTGCTTGATCATGAAAATCCTTTCTTTGCAAAACCACCATTGAATTTCCCACAGTGTGGAGATGCGATATTCTGGTTGAGCCGGTGGCGCGCAAAAAAGTGCCAAATCTCTCAATTCTTCATGTCTAAAATGCCAAAAAGTAATTTTACCCAGAGAACTTTCACCAAATCAGTCGTCTTATGAATTTGACTAACGAATCCAATTTGCCGACTGGAATGATCAGACACAATACCGGAAAGTAAAAGAGCATTCCCGGCATGACTCGCGACTTTCCATCTTCACTCAATCTCCAATTGTAACATGTGCATCATCCCAAGATCGCACAATTCTGCGTGGAGGCGCCGATCCTCTCTCTTCATTGCCAGGTGAATGGCAAAAATATTCGCGAGAGTTTGACCGTAAGATTAAATGCGCATTCCGCGAGTTCCTCATCAGAGGCAATTGACTTCTGACCCTCAAACAATCCGGACGGCCGGCTAAATCTCCAAGGAAAATGTGCTCCAAAAATTCAAAGTATCACACACGTGAATTAATTACACAATTTCCTCTGAAACTATTTACACAAAACTCATGAAAATTTTGCACAGCAAGAGTGAGACAGAGAGAGAGAGAAAGACGAAAAAAGAGTCATTGAGCTGAATCATCATTATTAACACATCTCTTTTCATGCTTCTCCAACACTCCCGTAAATTATAAGTTTGAACAGCTAAATAAGGTGCAAAGAGAAAAGAGAGATTAATAGAAAAATCAATAGAAATACGATCAGTGATCGCTTCACTGAATTCCACTGAGCGAGAATCTCCTTCAGTCTTTTAGAGTGGACAAAATTTTTACCTCATCAGCGGAAATGGTTGATTTTTTTTTATGTAGCACCATGTTTTTTTTTATATACATATAGGTATAATTTTGTCGCTTTACGCAAGATTAACGCACTTTGCCAGCTTTTGATGTAAGCATAGTTATTAACTTTTAGACGTCAATCAAATATGTGGCAATCGAGACTTATTGATTGCTTTGAGAAGTGCTTTATGACGATAAGATTTTTTATTTTGTAATCAACAAAGTAAGGTTTATTGAATTGCTAAGGATTTCTGTTGTGTTGACTTACAAATTTGCACGGAAAAGATAATAGAACAAATAAATAAATTCAGGGTGATATTTGGCAGTGTGCAAATCCTATGGAAGTCGATTTTCAAGGTGGAAAAGCAAAAAAGAATATTTGTTTTATCGTAAAGACCACATTTTGCATATAAAATCAACAATCATTGATTTTTGGATGAGTGAAGAATCCACTTGAAATTTGCCATGAACAATCTAACAATGTTTTCTGAAAATGATCGAGAATTCTTTTTCGATATCGCTCTGCACATTGATTAAGTTTCAGGATTCTGAAATTTTCTGAACATTTCAAGAGAGACCTCTAAGCCTTACCCAATGATTGGCAATTTAGGTTTTATGCGTTTACCAACGACATTCACACGATAATTGAGTTTGCAAGGAAAAAACACTATCGATAAGTATTTAATTTAAATTCCCAGCGCTTTCATTATGAGGGAGAAATAGCAACATGGTCTATTGAATGGTTTTGAGATGAGAACAACATCTCTGTGGAGGTTTATTGCATAACTGTAAGAGAGTAATTTTCCTGGGTGTGCAGAATGCAGTGGGAATTGAGGTGGATGAGAACCTTGGGGCCCTTGGAGGCACTCCAGCTCGATGGTGTAGTCCCAGCACTCCATGCTGTTCTGTCTGGAGAAGGCGGCCGCCGACTGGGCATCCCAGGAGGACTCATCCTCCTGCGCCTTGCCATTGATGGACGGCGGATTGGGTGGCTTGATGATGTTGGCCGTCGTACCGTTTGGCACATTGTTGGAAGTCATTTCTCACAGAAATTTCATTTTTTTTTACACTGACTCTTCAATCACTGGAAATTGTGGCACAAGTGAGAGGGAGACAATATATAAATATATGAAATTGATGGTATATTTTCGAGCTCCAATTTCCACTGGTGAAGATACACATTAAATTACTATCTCTGGTCACATTGAACGGGTAATTTCGCTTCACCATAACAACTCCTAAATACACTTGTTATCACTCCACAATTACTATTCTTTTCCCTTTTCCGCTACACTTGGACTCTCTTTCGGTCATCCAATGGAAATTTATACCACATAAAAAGCGCACATAATCGTGAATATATTATTAATTTGAAGATGACAATTTGACATTTTTCCTACAATGTCAAATCGCTTTAGAGATAATCCTTGTGTGACCGAAAAAAGTGGGAATCATTGCATTTCTTGAGGTTTTTGGGGCGCGTTAAGATAAAACAAAACACCTAATAATTCAACTGGAACGAAGAATTTCTTACAACACAATTAACTTTATACGGTGAGAAATTTATTCATCTTTTTCACCAGCACTTTGTCCAATTTACTCTATTGCCTCTCGATGGCTGAATGTATTAAGGATGGACACTCTGAGAAACCGCCAGAATTCTAAATGTGCGCGAATTCTCACAATAGTCACATGATTGCTTAAAATTCAGCGCAATCGAGAGGCGAAGACTTCTGAGTTCTTCCCTAGAATTCTAGGGAAATGATGACGAATATTGTTGGCTAGCCAGGAATCGAGTGTCGACCAGAAGCAATCGCACGATTTAGCTCGTTCGAAGTCAAACCGACAACTGAGGTATTTTCGTGCCAGCCAAGTAAGTAATGCCCAACACAGCTCTCTCGCCAACACCGATATACGCAGGTGAATACCACAAATAGTATTATAAAATTGTACACAATGAATTGGTGGTGAGGAAAAAGAGTTCATACGTAATGCCAAGAGAGTGCAATGAATCTTCATTTGCGCCCAATATACGGGGGAATTACATTGAAAAACGCGAGATGGGCATAAGAACAGCAATGCCCCGAAAACTATTCATCAATTTCTTGTGATTTTTGGCTACTTCCAATTTGCCTTTTGCGAACACTTAAATCGATTAGCCTTCATTAACCTGGGGAGTGAAATTTCTCCACAATTTTCGGCAGATAACGTCTAAAAAGTGACAAATTTCTTCATTCGCAGCGACGGTTGGAAAAAAATATATGTGTAAGATGGCAATAAAGCAATTTGTTAACCCATTCAAATTCCTACACAGGTTTCGTGTGCAATTTTCAGTAATGTTATTTTTTGAATTACCATTAACAAAGCTGAACTTTAAGATTTATGACTATTTAATGAATTCACTTTGAGAGATGGGATTTTATTTTGATTCCACTTAATTAGCCACTGAAATTGCACCCAAAGAAGGTCGATGTAATTGGAAAACTGAATCAATTTTCTCATCTCATGAATATAATTTCTCTTAAGATGGAAAAGTGGACTTGTGTCATGCGAGATATTGTGATGAATTTATTGCTCATACTTTTCCAACAAGAGACACACATTTTTCACATGACAGGAAAATTCCGAAAACTTTCCCTTTTCCCACCTCCAGCAAATGGGTTAACATTGCGATGGAATTGCAATAATAATAAAATTATTATTAATGAGATAACCTTCACCGGAAGCTGACAAGTTCATTTTTCTTCATCTGCAAATTAACAAATCATATTTGTCTGAGATGGAGAAAAAATATTCGAATATTATATTCCCACAGATGGACAAAACATCTTGGAGTTTTTGTACCAATTTCTACGTGATTTTTGATTCTTCACATGAGCCCTCATTGTGGTGATTTTTTTTCTTTTCTTTTCCCTTTCATTCAAACCTCACCTGGGCGCCAATAAAATTCAATAGCAATTTCCTTGTAACGAGAAGATAATTCCCTACACTTTTTCACCCACTGTGAAATTAAATATAAAATTCTATGGAGAGAACTAAATTTATTAGACTTGCAAATGTGTAACACACAATATTTTGCCTCTCTTGTGCTTCACGCCGCGGCAAGAAGAAGAGCACGGAATGGACATTAAATGAATGGATGGAAAAAGAAGCACGCCAACAACCTAGTAAAATAAGCAATATATTGTGTGGCACCCAAAAGAAAGTCAATTAAAGTGATATGAATGTTTAGTTAAATGACTGGTGTGAGTGATGTCTTGAGCTAAGTATGATTAAGAGGGACTAGTATGCAAAAATTCGCCATTAATCTCTCCTCCGCATTCATTTGACAATAAGATTGTCTCTTGGCGGAGAAATTATCATTTCTCTTTGCAAAATTTCTCATCACTTTGCACTATCACGTTTTTCACTACAATAAAGCAAAGAGAGAGAGACAGGAATTGCTCAGAGTGACGCTAAAAAGTTCTCCTTAATTAGAATTACAAACACCTTTCACGCCTCACAGTTTGCTGTCTTGGGGCCACGTGAAAATATGGGTATATTGGGGAGAAAGATCGCAATTTTGCAATTTATGCACATTTCACAGACACGGTGAAACAATTCATGCTAAGATGATATAAAGAGCTCTCTTTTTGCCAAGGCAATAAAAAGATATAATTGCAGAATTGATACATTTGATCATGATCAAGTAAATGCCTAAGTAGAGCAGTGGATCACTCGCTGGGGCAATTTTTGGGACACCTGCATTCAACTTTTCTTCAACACAGTCGCGTGCATCATCCACTGTCGTATTTTCTCATTTGCTATTTCGGCCATATTTATGCTTCATAAATAGTAATATACATTCATAAGTACTTTTTCTCCGCATATATTACGGAATATTGTAATATCGCGAAACTCATTTACGATCACAGGTGATGCAGCCAACAATATGTGAGCAAATTTCAAAGTGTCGCGCTTGCATTGTTTCAGTCGCAGCTCTCGAATGTATCTCACAATGTTGGGTTCATGGATAAACGGTAATACGCTTAAGGACAGACATAAGGCTCAATAAAATAGAAGGATTTCCGAGTGTCCCGAGATTCATTTCATATGCAAACTGAGAGTTTTATGATCAATTCATCTCCACTCCACTCACTTTGGAATCCCATTCACCATGGGCTCAATAGGATTATTAATAGATTTTTGCGGAATTTCTCTGCACAATGGACGAACTGCCCATTCACTTATTGGTGGGTGGTTTGTGCTTCAAACATTTGACCCTTTTAATACTCTTTCTCTCATCGAAGGCTTCTCTCACCTTTCTGTGCCCCTTTTTGCATAATGGCTCATGCACGAGGGAATGCGGCTATGAAGAATGGAGTGAAAGATGGATTTAAAGGGCTTCGGGCGGGTTAAAGAGGCTTGTTTCAAATAAAAGCTCAAATTCCACGTCAATTTCAGCATTAGCATCAATTCTCCTAAACTTTTTCTAGCCATGGTCTTCAAGCATGTTCTTTTTTGCTGTACTGTTTTCAACACATTTTGTGCTATCGAGTTACGTGAAGTCATGCTGTCTTGACTCATTCGCAGACGAGTCCAGCGCAGAGATGTACTCAGAAGGAGCGATTTCGTGGTAAATCCTCCAGAGTAAAATAGTGAATGAAGTAATTGGGCAAGAAAAACACGTTTCATCTCAATTGTTCCACCTCGTGCTTTCCACACGGTGAGTTATTAAGGAAAGAAAAGAGAAACATCAACCCAATTTGAATTTTTAATGAAAAAAAATCTCTGCTCTCTTAATTAAAATCTCCTCGGCAATTAAATAACAAAACATTTAATTTACTATTTCACAAAATTTCATTCCCTTCAACTCGTCCCAAAGTTCTCTATTGCCAGTGACTAGTCATTACACTTGAGAAACGCCAAATGAGAATTTACTCAACAATTTTTATCATATGTATATAATTTGTGTGTTTCCCACTTTGGTAAATATACAATGCAAGACAAATAGATGACTTTTTCCACACTAGGCATTGACTGCTGTTTAGCGGTAATTAATTGCTCTTCACAGGCTCACATTTCATTCAGATAATGTTGACTGGTTGGGTTTCGAAAGACCTTTGAACATTTTAGCACCTTCCTTGACGAAATGCACAGCGAAACAATAGCAAAAGACTTGTGGTTTCAAAGTTCAGCTCAATCCGGTCAATTTGTCTGAATCGTCTGAATACATTCATTATATGTATTCCTCATATAAAATCAGCGTGAAACACCTTTGAAATTCACACAGACTCACCGCAGGAGTGAACTAACGAATTAATTAAGCATCCACGAACCTCCGCTGCAGAAAACCTATCAATCTTGATTGTTCGGTGGCGCAAAAAGCAAACATAACTTGCAACCGTGCAAAAAGTAAATAATTACTCAAATGACATGGATAAAGTGATGGTTGGAAGATAAGTGGTAAGAAATCATCATGGGTGCGATAAGATATGGTCAGACCACGTCAAAGGTGGTCGTCTTGATCTTGATATAGAAAATGACGAAGGTCGCTGGCTATCAAGAAAGTGGTTTCTCATGTTGAATCACAGGAAAAAGTGTTATTTAATATGCGTGAAGTGTGTGAATATTTACTTTGGAATAATCACATCAATTTCTCTCAATGTGCAAGAGCAAAAAGTGGAAATCGATCACATCAGCGAAGAGATTTATGAGCATTTTATATACAACTACTTTGTTGTTGTTGCGGATTAAATATTGAAGCAAGTTGGCATTTTTTCAATGGTTTTCGATATTGATTATTATTGTCAAAAAAAAAATCAAGGATTGTGAGCGAAAATCGCAATTTTACGCGTAATTTAAAGACAGAATATTACAGCAATTGCGCAATATTTCCACACGAGATGCTGCACTTCACATTATATCCCGAATTTTCCAGACAGCATCACAATCTTCATCTCTCTCTAGCCAATAGTAATTTTGGCACATGGCCAGGCATTCTCCAGTCCCATGACCTTGCATCTTCGCCAATGGTATGCCAGGAGGAAAAACCATGATAGATGGATGTGCATTCGAATTCGAGTGGATTGGAAATTCAAGGTGGTGAGCTCATTATTCCAAATGCGTATTATATATTCATGAACTTCCTCGTCGATATGGGTGGTAATCTGTGGACCATTACATACCGTCCAGCATGTGACGAGGGCATTCATCCTCGGCAACCGATGGACCTTCAAGTGGCTCTCTGAATGCATTCATTGTCGATCTGCACTTGCGACCCAGATGCCGCCAAGATTAAGAGGATGTTGGGATTTGTTCTACCGGTTAAGGTCACGCCTCTTTGTATTCAAATATTCACTGTGATAAGAGAGCTTTATTCACTTCCGGTGCCGTGCTTCTTAATACTCTTAACTTGTCGCTTGAGAGAGATTGTTTTCAGGCGTCTCACTTCAATATTGGTGGCAAAATACGGTGGAAATTAACACGATAAATCAACATCCATATTTGGCACCTTGTCACTTTCACTGAGACATGATTCGTGAGCACTTTATTGAGAAACTACTCGTCTTATCAGTGTCTTAAACAAGAGGCACTATCGACTTTTTCCTCTTACTCGAAAAATCTACCTCTGAGAAACGAGTTACTCACGTTGACTGTACACAAATTAATTCTCGGACAGAATCGCCTCGTTCGCAATGAAACTCTTGAAAATATATGTACGTTTTTTTCTTACACGAAGGCTAATAATACTCTTATGTGGCTCAAATTGAACCCCTCTGCTAACTAAAGTATCAGAGATGAAAAAACCGTGTATTTTATTGTGCTTTTTGCGTGCTCCTCCCGTTCCACTGAAGGTCACACT